TCTAAATATGCAAGAGATTAATATCTTTTGCACATCCACACAGACAAGATTCCTTTACTGCTGATATTGCGTAGCAGTTGTCAACCCTTGATTTTAATTTGAGACAGAATTAATTTTAGTTATATTCATCAGAACTGCTTCAAACGAATCCATTTTATGAATTTTATGAATAAATTAACATCAACCGACTGCCAACCACAAAACGTAGGAAGTCTATCGCTGTTAGTGTGAGAAAGTAACTTTTTAATGTTAAAAGTTATATAATAAACAATGTTATTGAGATTGCATGAATATCGCGATTCAATTATAATTCTGTGCTAATTCCATTCAGAATTTTTGTAGAGCAAGGTGGGATGAACTGAAAAAACTGTTTCTCTAAAGTCAGTATCTTGGCACTTGAAAGTGATGGTTTACTTTAAATTGTTTACTTTGTACCGTTTTTTAACACTTTAACGATTTAATGGGCATGGTTCATTCTACTTACCTAAGCCATTGCATAACTGATGTTATGCTCGTTATCCTAAAAAAAAAAGAAACTAGAACAAACTCATCGGAATCTCTTCACCTTTTTTATAAAACGGTTTTATATAATTCTAGGTTGCGTCATTTATTAGAATATTCAAATGTTTTTGTTGTTTGTATGTTTAACATTTAAGTAATTAGAATACAAATTGGTATAATATTTTTTTATTAATATTTTTGAGTTCTATTTTATGTAAACACGAAGAACATTAAATGTCAATTTGCTTCACGAAATCATTTTTAAAGTTCAGCAACAAAGCTTTTCAGAAAACTGAGACTGAAGTCCTTAATAACTCTTTTTAACCGTTCGTTTGTTAACAATATTTATCTAAATCAGTTTGTGACAGAAGAATGCAATAACTAATGAGTTGCGAAAGGGTCACGGCTTCCTTGATTAAGAATATAATGCTTCTAGCACTATAATTATTACGCAAACTGGACAATGACATTTTGTAATTATCGTACATCTTAATTTTCTTCTTCTTTTGAATATACCGCAACACTGATGGTATGGATTGTTCTCCATAGATGATTGTTACTTTAGTTTCGAGAATATTTTTTATATTCACACATTAGGTAGCTACAGTAAAGATAAAGTGATTGTTAAACACTATTTTCACACAAATAAAACTGGTAACATTAATTTATCTTTAGTCGTAGAAAGTGAAATGTTTCGACCAAATAGCAATGATGACCTTGCCTGTTTAAATTTCACTTTTTATTACATAATTGCTCTTTTCTTTATGGATCTATCCTAAAATTATGTAATTTTTTACAATAAAATAATTTGTATGTTTGTACATAGGTAATTATTTACTTGTACACCTACATTTTTAGCAGATTATATCAGTTTATGCATTGTATGGTATTTACAAAATGGAATTATACAGGATGTACCGTAAATACGTACACAACGGAAAACCACAGATTTCCCTACTCAAATTAGGAGCTTCGTTTGACCCTAGTTGGCCTTAAAATACCTGAAAATGTTTTTAATTTCACCTAAATCGGCCGTTTTAGAATCCAGGAATATGAAATGTTTTGTTCAATTAATGGTTAAAAAAAACTGAACTTGTCAGAGGTTTTTAAATTCTTGTCAAAATTCGGAGGAAAAATAAAAGTTCATAACAAATTTTTGTCTTATTAAGGCTTATAAGCCTTTTAAGGCTTATTTTGGTGCACTTTTAAACGAAGAGAGATTTAAATTTCCTGAGTAGTAGGTTTGCTGATGATAGACTGATCATTTAAAGTTTGTACTGTTACTACAAACCTTGTCTTCATGAACTCCCCAGGTAAAACAATTCCAGTGTATTCATGATTTTAAATAGGAAGAACAAGATGTATAACCTATTTGTCCTACCCAAAGATTCTCTTTTCAGTATTTGATTACAAAAGACTACAAAAAAAATGCAATATGTCGTTCGCAAAAAAATAATAGGTATAAGACATTTTTTATAGATACCTGCTGGACGATATCTAGCATCTGAATTTATTATTTTTTTTTTTTCGGGAAAAGTCAGTGGTGTATTTTTTATATACAGAAAGTGAATCCGAATTCCAGTTGCAGCCATTGACTAAAATGATGAAACTAAAATTTTACCATTATTCTTTTGTCAAATTTCAAAAATAAACTTCCCGCGACGAATGTTCAAACAAAGTACACTTATTTTTCGAATCTGTTCCCGCAATTTCAGAATTTAAAGTGATATCACCTTCTATGCTCCAGACAGGTAGATACATATTTCAATATGTCGTAAAAGTTTCCATGCAACTGAAGATAAAGAAACAAGTACGTTAATTTAATTTTTTAAGTAGGTATCTTATTATTTTGAGGTTCTTAGGTCCTCTTGTCAATTGTTTCAGTACAAACATAAATTTTGTTTAATAAAACTTAATATCTGTTTATAATGTCGGCTTTATCTTGTTAATTTTACTTGATTTATGTGTTATCTATTATCTAACATTGATAGCGAAAATTTATTTGTCTAGCAATATCCTACTATCAGACAATCAACTCTGTTAATAACTTCCTTAATTAATTTTCCTTAATTTACTTGTATCTGTTCAAGTAGATACTATGTTATAATTATCTTCAATATAAATGTTTCTTATCTATTTAATTATCTATAATCTCTTATTGTAAATATCTCACATAGCTTATTTTTACTTTACTTTAAAATGTATTAAACTAATTGGAAACTTTTCCTAAATTTCGTAACAGGAGTATGCTCCTTAGAAGACAATCTATTGAACATGTTACATCTCACTCATATTATTTAATAATTATTAAAAAAAATAAAAGTAATCTACGCAAATATGAAAAAGAAACACGTACCTGACATATTTAAATAATTAAATAATGTAAACTTTCAAAGGAATTACCTCGTTTCTATTTCATCGCTTTGACAAGATAAACTTGGTAATAATAAGATACTTTACAGGGTGATTTTAAAACATACTAATTCTAATATCTAACGGGTTAGGGAATACGTAATAATCGTTTTTTTTTACATTTAAAAATTCACATGAAAATTAAATGCTTTGTCAAATTGACACATGTCATTCGAAAGAGGACTTATTGCTCTCTCAGACTTTTTTTTGTTGCTTCGTTAGATTTAGTTTTGTGAATTTTCATTCATTTGAAATGAAATATCAAGTTGATAAAATTGATCATTTTTGGCACTAGCTTCTTTTTATTTAATCGAGACGGGGAAAACACTAAAGCCGCTCAAGCTGCTCGAGAAAGTGTCGTATATGGTGATGATGATGAATGAAAGAACAGCCCGTCAATTTTTTTTTTGTTTTGAAGAAGGTGATTTCAATTGAATTTGGTATTGAATTTGATGAAAAGCAGTTAAATCTACTCCTTCCTCAAAATCCAAACAAATCAACAAGGAAATTGGCTCAAGAGATTGTATGTAATCACAAAATAGTAGTAAACTGGCTGCATTCGATAGGAAAAGTTCAAAGACTTGGAGATTGGGTCTCACATGTTTTGAACGAAAACAACAAGAATCAAAGCTCTACAATTGCCGCTGGTTTGTTCTATCGTTATCGATCCACACCAGGTCATAAGGAACGTTTATCGTATTGTCACTGGTGATAAAAAATGGTGTCTGTACGTGAACTTAGAACAGCAGAAAGAATGGTTAAGCCCTAAAAAGCAAGCAATACCAGAACTTCATCCTCGAAAAGCAATGCGTCTGGTGGGATTAGAAAGGGATTGTTTATTACGATATCTTACCCAACAATCAAACCGTCAACGCAGAATTCTATGTCCAACAACTATGGTCACTCCATTCAACAAAATAGACCTGATCAGCGATACGACGTTTTTTTGTACCATGGTAATGCTCTACTACATATCGCTAATATGACCAAAACAGCCATTCGGGAATTAAATTGGGAAGTTTTGTCCGACCTACCTTACTCTCCCGATCTGGCACCTTCTGATTTTCACCTCTTCCGCTCTTTATCAAACTCCTTACACGTTATTCCTTTTGACAACGACAATGAGTTAAGAGCTCGGTTGGATGAGTTTCTCAAGTCAAAACAGAAGAGGCATCGAGAAACTTGTTAAACGTTGGGAGGAGGTAATAAATAATGATGGATAATACAGCACTGATAAGTATTGTAGTTGAAAATAAAATATCATAAATATAAAAAAATAAAATTATAGTTATTTTCCAACTCGATACATATTTTAGAATCCTGTCTAATAATTTTTTCTGCAAGAAAACATAAAATAAAGTTTTTATAGATTTCTCGTGACCAGAATATATCAAATAAATCAACAGTCGGTCTTATTTCTACAAAATCTTAAAGATTTGCTATACAATCGATTTGCTTAGATAATTAAATTGTTATAGCATATTTAATTGCAAATATTAGCAAATTCAAACTTAATCAGCCTTAGTATATAAAAGCTTTCACAATGTACGTAATTTCACAAGATGGTATGGTGTAGGAGCTCTAACTTTATTATTTTTTTGCGAATTTCTTCCAAACTATAGAATGTAGAGAAAAATCAAGAGAATGTCGTCCTGTGATTTTCCTTGCCAAAAGTACAACGGATTTTTACAATACCTTCCAGAAATAGATGGGTAAACAAACTTGTGTGGCAGTGGGAGTAGTGTATTATTATCTGGTGTAGACTGGGCACTTTGGAACGACTGATTTAGCTGCTTTTAAAGACTTCTTTGACCTGGCTCTTGAATAGGAAGCGAAAAATTATGATTTAGAATATGTTCTTCCGGAAAAGGAACAATTATTATGGAAATCTTTGTGTAAGTAATAAAATTATAATGTCCGCATGATTTCCACAAGTCTATCAGCTATTATTCTTGTTTATACAAGATTTTTTTGACCCCAGCCTATACTACTGTTGATCTATCTGCTACCAGACGACATAATAAGATAATCAGTTCGCAAGTTCGGTTGTAACAACTTCAATTCCGTCATTCGGGTACCAAACGCGATACATACATATTTTCTTAAGTGCACACTGCTCCACACTTCTCACACAAATCTCAGGCTATTTGTTGTACTCATATTATCTTAAAATGCTCTTTGAATGGTTCTCAGGGATTAAACTATTTACAACTCAAATAATGGATTGGAGGTTTTTTAGGTCATTAATTTTATAGATATTAAGAGATATATGTATGGTTATCTCAGAGGTTTGATTTAGTCACTGCAAGACACCTTGTGATACACAGTACTTTCATCTGGCTTGGATTTTGGTAAGGATATTATATCTCTAGATCTGTGCATGCATTTATGTGAGTTTACTAAAATAATCTACAATAATTAGAATGTAATAGGTAAGTTAGATTATATTTATTGTCACACAAGGAAATTCACAACAAGGAGTACGCTTTTCTTCTACAGTTCCCTTTGAATTTAGTATAAATTGGATAAAAAATAAAATAACCACATATATTTCCGTTTTCTCAAATAAATTCACAATTATTATTTACGGCCAGGATAGATATCGATAACAAAACTTGCATAAATATGTAACGGAACAAAAACTAACTAATCTAATCTAATATAATAAAAACGGAAGAGTCTCAGGTGTAACAAAGAATCCTTACTGCTCAAATCAAGGTTAGATCTATCTCAATATTTTTAGAATAATTTATATTAAGAATTTAAACAGAAACAAAATCAATATTCTATTACAATTAGTTGAATATGTTTTAATAAATATTTTCTACTAAAACACAGAGGTGAAGTACAAGTCGTTTCTATGAAAAAAATCTGCTTCGTTGGACTGAAAAAGCTGAAAATTTGTTGTCACTTTTGCTTAAGCTTTTTTTCAAAAACTGCTAAAATACTGTAGAAAAAAGTAGTATTTCTCTAAGGCAAAATATTATTTTAAATGAATTAGCAACCACTTATCAAAAATTGCAAAAATAAATATAATACGACTTTGCAAATTATTTTTATCTTTTATAATGAAGTGGAATGGATTACTTAGATATTATCTCTGAAAAAATTTAATCCTTGTTTGTATAAACAAAAATCTTTCAACGTCATTTTCATCAAGGTATTTTAGGTATTAAAAGTGATGCATATTTAAAATATATGTAATATATAATCAAAACATTTTATGATTTGTTTTTGTTAAATTTTGAAGTTCCTTTAAATATTACAACCTGATAGGTGACCAGTTCTAATGCCACTTGACTTTTCACTAGAAATTTATGAGATTGTGGAAACACGGTATCTTTTATTATTTTCTTAATAAAGAAACAAGCAGAAACTAAATGTTGTTACTGATATTATACAGTGTACAGGGATATGTAATTATAGCACAACCTTATGTCTGCTTACAGTGAAGAATAATCTAAAATTATAGTGTCATTGGATTCAAATTATAAATAAAACAAACAAGTTTGTAATATAAGTACTAGATATTTTTAACATCCTTGAATTTTACATTACACCTACACTGTACATAAAAAAGATAAGTTATTTAATAACATAATAATAAGACATACGTAACCCTTTTGAATAATTGAAAGTGATAATATATCGATGGAAGAAAATTAGTTTTTTAAAGGAAATTTTCTGCAAAATTTGAAAAAATATAGGGTGCCTATTTATAAAAAATATAAGTTAGGATTATAACTGAATAATCGGAACTTGTAGAAAACTGTAGAACTTCTCTTGATAATCGGGCCAGATATATCTTAATTACTTCTATCTCCTCGAGAAATACGAGAAACCTTTGAAAAATGCGAAAATTAGCGCATACTGTACATATTACTTTGTATTTACAAATAACCTTGTAACTGAATAAAAAAATTTAATAGACATTCATACTCCACTTTAGTTTAATCCTTCTAAATCAGTACGTGCTTTGATAAAAATGTTATCATTTTTATATGCATCACAAGGTGGTAACAATTCAAATTTTAATTATCTTTTCCGATAAATTGTTTCTTTTCTTTTAAGTTAATGTCAATTGTTAATGTTTTAGATTTGCTTCGATATTTTTGCACAAATATTTTCCACATTCTATTCTGAATATATTTTGATTTTTGTACTAACTACGAAAAATTTATAAATATGTGTGTATTTAACTGTGTCTACTTAGAAAATACATATAAAAATAAATTATATAATTTTATTAAGGAATAAATATTCAGTATAAGATTTATTGAAAAAATATTGTATCAGCAAGTTTACAATTTAATGGATGTTAATATTTGCATTAATTTTGTGTGTGTCAATATCCAAATTATTTTCCACTGTAAGCTTTCAGTTACTTTTTTTTTGAGTGTGTCTACAAAAAATATTTATAGATAAAAGAAGCCCACCTTTTAGCTTAATGGATAAATTATCTTCGTCCATGTTATGATATAGCGGTATTTCTCTTATCATATCCACATTAAACTAACCATAACTCAAATCAACATAGGAAGATAATTTAAATATAATTAGGAGTTTCTTATTTTTTATATCATTTTTTATTTCCTAGTAAAGTTAGTCGAATTTTGTTTACCACAATACATAATTTTGAACGTTTTCACTTTTTTGCAACGAGATAATACATGTAATCATTTTTCTTAAAGGCTTTCACCAAGCCAATGTTAGATAATTACGGTTTTGTGGTGAAACAATTCTTTAATATAACAATGATATCGTCACGCAATGACGAATTTACATATTGAATATTAAGGTCCTTTTTACGAACGATTTAGGTCACTTGAATTAGTCAAATGTCATGTTACAACCACAAATAACCATAATAAGATACCAATAAACGAAAGAAAGATTAATCTGAAAAATAAATATTTGGTGGAAGATCAAAATCATTCATCAAATAATGTGCTCAATTACGAAATTCAAAATTGTATTTCTTTAATTTAATCCGCCACTCTAAATTTTGTAGTTCAAAGTGAATGTAATAACGAGCTTTGTTGGGAAAATTACCTCCTCATGTAACTTAACCTTAAAAATATGTTAGGATGTGTCGTATGGACCATTGCTGAGGAAATTCAGTCATCAAAAACCTTCGGAAGAGTATATATAATCTGGTTTGTGGTTTAAAATTTCGTCTGTGTTTGTTAAAGATGCAGAAACAAATGGTAAAATCTCTGTAACAAAACAATTCCATAAGTTGTAATCTTCCTAGCTGTTACTGTTTACATTTACTAGTTCGAAAAGTTCATAGAGTTCGAAACAACCTATCTAAATTTTATTCATGGGAACAAGTGGACCATAAATGGCAAGGTAGTAACAATGACCATGCTCAAGTTCAACATTAAATCTCAACCCACGTTTCGTGTGTAAAAAATAATGAATTTAAGGTGAACGTACAGTACCGATGCCGAAAAGAAAATTCCTTTGTTGCTAAAGCCATTTCTTCGAAAGAAAAAATTAGTAATGCAATCTAATCTACTAAGGCAAATCACTAACTCTTGTTCTTAAATATATTCCCATAATAAAAATGGTGATCTATGGATGGTTTTCGAGATAACTTATGTTGATTTTTTAAAATATCATCTCTAGGTAAATTCAGCAAAATATACTCGACGTGGATTAACAATATGAAGCATTGAATTTGTAGATAATACAAGAATTCCAAACACCACTGAGTATTCTAGAAATTGGATAAATGGATTTGATGCTTACTATTACTTCTAATCTCTTCAGTTTTACTATTTATTTATTTTTTATTTACTATAAAGTTGAATATATCGCAAATCACTCTAAAACTCTTCATTCATCAAAAGGATGTATAGGATTTTTCTGTGTAAATACTTTAAAAATCAAAAAATACCGTTGACTTTTGGAGTTATAGCAAGCGGCAAATTTATACGCCATTGAATTTTCCTGACTTATAATTAAAACTTTTTATTTAAAAGAGTACAAGAAATATTCCTATATATTTTTGGAACAGTGATCTATTGTTTTCGATTTATTCACGTGTGTGAGAAGTTGATTTTATGCTGAAAAATATATAAATCGAAGATAACACGTTTCGCGAATAAAATAGAACACGTACTTTTTCTTTGAAGTACATTTGTGAATGGCCTTAATGATTAATTTTGAGTTTCCTAATAAAGGTATATCTTTTACTTGTTGATATAATAATAATTTTTATTGACAAACTCAATAAATTTTTATCTTACCTACAGTGTGTCCCGTTTTTCAGGTTAACACCTCTGGAAATACTAATAATTTTATTGATGTGACAAAATCCTGGTCTACTACGATTTTTTAAAAAAGTCGTTTTTCCAGAAAGTAGTATTAGGCATTTTTTTATCAAAAAGATAATATAACCAGGCTATTCAACACCCATCAAAATACCCATATACTAAATTTGAACGACAAATGTCTATTGAGTGTTTTTTTATGTGGTGCCAAACTTCGAAAAATCAGACAACTAAAAATTATAATAAGCAGGTCAAAGATTGCCATGACAGTAAAAATAAATACCAATCGGACAAAGAAAAAATGCAGGCACTATAAATTTAAAACTTTTAATTATATTAATTAATTATTATTAATTATAAAATAATAGCTTACAAAAAATATAATGAAATATAAATACTAAGTTGTTAAACAAACGTTAATCTAAATTAAATTTTAGTTTTTTCCACCAAACCTCCTTCCAGTCGAACACATTTTTCCAATCCTCTTAAATTTAAAAATAATTTACATTGCTGTTGTAGAGTAATCTCTGCACAAGCTTGTCTTATGCAATTCATTAGGTCATCCAAATTCCTTGGTCTAATTTTATAAACTTTTTGTTTTATAAAACCCCAAAAGTCCATAGTTCGAGAAAAAAAAAATTAATTTAGATTATTTTGCAATTTTTTGTTTAACAACTTAATATTTATAATTCGTTATCTAATTTTTTTGTACGTTAATTATTATTATTTTTTTTATGGTGGCCGCAATTAAAACTGTTAAATTTATAGTGTCTGTATTTTTTCTTTGTCCGATTGGTACTTGTTTTCACTTTCATCGCAATCTTTGACTTGCTCATTATAATTTTTAGTTCTGATTTTTCGAAGTTTGGCGCCACATAACAAAACACTCAATAGACATTTGTCGTTCAAATGTGGTATTTGGGTATTTTGATGGATGTTGAATAGCCTGGTAATATTATCTTTTTGATTAAAAAATACCTAATACCACTTTCTAGAAAAATGACCCTTTTAAAAAATCGTAGTATTATTGATATCACAAAAGCCTGGCCGGCTTTTGTGATATCAATAAAATTATTGGTAGAATATAATCTCCTTTCAGGGTACTATTTGTAAAAAAATTGTCTACAGCCTTCTCACATTTCCAGAAATGTTAACCTGAAAAACGGGACACACTGTATATAATAAACCCAAATTTCATTAATTTTTCAATTTTTCGATTTGTATAGATTTGATATTTTTCAAAACAATTAACATTAACATGACCATTCTGTATAATAAAAACTAACTTGTTTATGACATAACAAGTTTTTCCTCAAAATTATCTAAAGAGTTCTCCCTTCTTTACTATCGTACATTATTTGAGGACTATCCTGCATAAGCAATTTCTCAATAAAATCCGCAAATTTTTTTTAGTATCAAGTTATCTTTAACATTCCTTTATTCCAGTTTTATGTGAAACCATTTAAAGCAAAAATAAAACAGTTTTTGAATCACCTTGGCTTTCGAGGTGTATTACAAGTATGTAATAAGAAATAATTATTAATAAAAATGTTCTCGAATTTTTGACCTTGCTTTACCAAAATACATATAATGGATGAAAATACATACTTACGGAGTGGACATCAAACTTGTGATTCCAAAGATCATACGCTTGAAAGTAAAACAGTTTATTGTCTAGTGAAACACAATTTTGATGGTCTATAAATATAACGTAGGTTTATTTGTATCATTAACACTGTACTCTAGAGACTAATCGGTAATAATTTTTACTTTATTTTAAAGAAATCTTAATTGATGATATTGCTTGTAAAATGAAAAAAATAAAGTAAAAATACAAAAGGTAATAATAAAATCTGTTTTTAAAAAAAATATATTTTTTTGGCAGACATATATTTAAGCTGCACCAAAATGCGTAATATGTGTAGGTGCAACAGAGGAAAAATAAAATCAATTTTCACGCATTTCTTAAGTATTAACAAAAATTTAGTGACCCAGAAGTTTATCTTTATATTCACAAAATATGCAATTGCAAACTAGCTTGCATCGAAATATTATTAGTATTCCTTTCCTTTCACGTGAATGTGAAATCATTATATTTAAAAAATCAATATCTTTGCTGTATCATTCACACAGATCTATATACGCGTCCTTTTTTGTTTGGAAGCCGCTGACATATTCTGCCAGTGCGCATCGGGAAAGCCGGTCCTGCAAGCGTAAAGAAAAAATTAAACAGGAAATTTAACAATTGGATTGCATTTATTATCTAATTGTCCATAAAGTACGTACATCCATACACTGATCTATGTTGGCAGTATTTTCGCTGTAGCGTCGCGGGTTCAAGGTTTTGAAAATCAGATCGGATCAGTGACAGACAGCATAGGACATATATCTGTGTATGCTGTGATGGTAAATATTCAAATTGAAGTAGATGCATAATTTATAGAGTACGCAAATTTGCAGATGGCAACAGCGTTTGTGAAAAATTGATAAAAACTGAAACGAAATGATTTGCTGTATTTTCAATTCCAACGAATTTTTATTTATAAGTCAAAACATTGTACAAGGTACCTGAGTCACATAAGGATCAGTCGCATGATACTTTTAATCACTGTTATCTCAAAGGTTTATTAAATTTAAACGCATTTTTTTTCTAGATCTGTCGTTTGTTTATGAAAGTTCTAAAATATAATATTAAAGTGGATGTCCTACTAGTAAACAAATATTTTAATAAAGTTAGTATAGTTTTTCCGAAGTCAATTGAAGAACCTATAATTTCAAGGTATGTACCAGGCTCGGTCGCTAAGCAGCAACTCGGTATTGAAATATTTGAAAAATTTGTTCCCATATTTATTTAGTCATACCCATATATAGGTCCGGTCGAACTAAACGTGCAGGTGGTTGAAATGTATACGACCAGTTGAAGAATGCGAGCGCGGGCAAACGAAATGTAACACAACTGTATTGGGCTTCTGGCAATAATTCACAGCATGCGACAAGTGGTTCATAAATTGTCCAGCAGTGCAGTGCAGTAGTGCGGAATTTGGTGTGAATCAGGCAATTTTAATTTATTATAGGCACCTTTTATCAATCATTCATATTACAATTGGGAAAGGGAGAAATAAGTGAGATATTTTGTTTACTAATATTATCACAACGTGGCATTTTGGAGACCTTTTGAAACGGAACAAAACAAAATTTACCACCAATATAATAAAATTGTTTGATGACATAAATAATTAAAATATGTTGTTGGCCAAATGAACATATAATAGAAATTTTCTACACATTATAAACAAATTATTATAATTTTCTACCTTTAGCAGAAAATTTTTTTAGGGACGCCTATGAAACTCATTAAATTTTATTACCAGACGTTTTTTTGCATATTTAACTGACTTCGGAAGGACTGTACTCAACATTGGATTTTAATAAAACTAACAAATATCTTTAATAATATTAGATATATGTATACAATATAAATTCTCAATAAATCAATAAATGTCAGGTAGAGAACTATGTTTCCAATGGAAAAATTTCAAACCTGACGGTAAATTTTAATGCAAATAAATGTTAGTAAAAATGAAAAAATTTTCATAGATCAAGAAAGGAAAAAATGTGTTATAATTTCAACGTTTTTTAGCGAGATCTTCGTTAAAATTAATTTGACATTTTTCAGTGCTAAACAATTTTTATTTATTTAATGTGTTATTAGGTACTCTTATATTTAATTGGCTAATTCAAGTCAATTCCAAAAATTTTGCCTTTTTTCGTATCATACGAAGTTACACACCTACAGTTTTTATTAAATTGTCTATAACTATTACAAAAAAATTGAAGAGGACAGTTGTGTTCTTGCCAGATTGCTACGTTTTCATGAGATAAAAGAGAATTTTTTTAAATAGAACATCCTATACAGGGTGTCCCTGAAAAGGATGGACAACGCTTGACCACAGGTTCCTTGGATGAAAACAATACTATTTAGCCTAACTTACCTATATACAAAAGTGCACGCCTACTGAGATATAGCCTTCTAAATATAGAACAGATAACCTAGTTTTTTTCAAATAATTTGAAAACTGTTTTTCTTAGAAACTTCAAATTTGGTACATATATTTATATAAAGGCAATGTAAATACAGAAATCCATAAACGATATCGAAATTTTTAAAAGCAAAAAAATCTTCTAAAATAGTGCTTATTTTTAAAAATATAAATTCTGTCGTCATTAGCGTACACACAAAAAAGTTACGGGATAGCTAGTGGCGCACAGGCACTAGAAATAGAACATCCTGTATATGTATTCTCTCAAAATTCTATATTTACCTTGCCCTTATATAAAAAAATAAGTGTACCAAATTTGAAGTTTCTAAGAAGAATAGTTTTCAAATTATTTGAAAAAAAATAGGTTATCTATTCTATATTTATAAGGCTATATCTCAGTAGGCGTGCACTTTTATATATAGGTAAGTTAGGCTAAATAGTCTTATTTTCATCCAAGGAACCTGTGGTCAATCGTTGTCGTTGTCCATCCTTTTCAGGGACACCCTGTATATTTCAGATTTCAAGTTTGAAATTAATCAGACACACCGAAAAAACTATATTCTGTTCTCAATGATTTAATATTACACTGTATTCAATCAGGGGTATGCAAATATATCTTAAGGTGGCCATATCCCTGGCCGAGAAATGGTGAAATTTCTGGCATTTTTAGGTACTGAAATCTTGAAAAGTAAAACGTGTAGAACAAAAGTAAGCACAAAAATAAAATCCTTGATGTTTTGTTTATTCATTGTTACCATTTAAATTTACCCAAATAAAATAATAACTAAAAAAAAGCGTTTATAAAACATGCGTTTTCTGTTATCCCAACCCCACATTTTAAGAATTATTTTCACGTACTTATAAATAAAAGTAAACAATTTTATATGTAGGACTAAGCAAATAAATGTTATAAAGAATATTTACATGTGGAGTTATGTCTAAAAAAGTTAATATTTTCGTAGATTTCAGTACCTAAAACTTAATGGTTTGATCGTTTTTTGCACCTGTTTATTCGTTTTACTGCGGCGTCTTTGAAAATACTCAGGTGGCATGACATAACATTCCTATTATTTGATAAGCTTTAGATTATTCAGTTCAAATTCAGTACAAATGTTTGAAATTATTTGTTTTTGCGGAAAACACTATTTAAAGAATATGGGGCCCTTAAGGGGTACACAAAGGGATATTTTAGGATAGGTAGATACACAGAGACGAGAAAAAGTTAATTAATGATTAAACAATTTCATTATTTTCCAGTATTCCACAATATTATATAATTTGAAATGATAAGAAAAGCAACTGTCATATGCAAATTATTAAATAATATTGCAAACCTTCAAAAACAATTGTATCTCATCGCTTTAATTTGAACAAAGATGCAGGTTAGTTGAAATATTTCTATATTTAAGTGACCTCCTTTTCTTATTATAACTATATGAATTTTGCTTAAAATATTCATGAAAGGACCTGAAAATTCCATCACGGAAATTTTCTGGTCCTTCTGGCTAGACTGCAACAAAAAATGCTTAGAGACTCAACCATTGCGCCATCCTCGTCTAGCCGTTATTGCCCAACATCGTCCTCTTCTCCGATCGTGACAGCATATCGAATTCATGACGGTGCTCCTTTGTTACAGAAAAGGACCGGCCGTCGCGATGGCAATGAAGGAATGGTTTCGAAAGATGCAGCCCATCCAGCTGTACATTGTCCTGGTATTGACGATAGCCTTCTTCCTAACCGAGCTGATTGTCAGTCACCTCACCCATGCGCTAACTCTGCTAATGGACTCTTACCACATGCTATGCAACATTCTGGCATTGACCGGCTGCATTATCACCATCAAGGTAAGTATTACTATAGCCAGTCAGTGTGTTACCTACGTGCGGTTCAGTAACGAATCCATTGATGATTGTATAATGTTAATTTTGTATGTTGCAGATGTCCGCAGAGAGTTACTCATAAAAACTTGTTGTATGTGACAGCAACGCGTGTGAAAGATCACAATCTTCCGTTGACCTTATTTAAGGTGTCGCATCTATTAATGCTAAGTTTGTATGTTACAGACGTTTGCATATAAGGTCATCCATAAAAATTATTATGTACTTGGCAATAATAGTACGTGGAAGATAACGATCTTTTGATTCGACTTACAACATCTGCAGTATAAAGTAAAATTTTGTAATCAAAAACCAATTTATGGGGATTTATCTGGTCAAATATATCTTTAAACTCTTCGGGAGAAAATCCAAACATCAAATATGTGAAAGTTAGGATTTTCTCACAGTTCAGTCGATAAGAAAGTGACATTTTTTCTCTCTTGCTAATTTCGGCTCGTAAGACAAAACCAAAAATGTCAATTTCCTTAATTAAAATGCTAAACTAACTAAATTTACATGAACTTTTCATCAATTAACTTAATTTCGACAGCACTTCTTTTGTGCGGGGGTACATTTCAAAAGAAAATAACAGTTTTGAACATTTGATAAAGATGTTAAATGTCCTGCTAGATCTCCGGATCGCACTCCTATACTTTTCTTTCTTTGGTCTTACCTAAAATAAAAAGTTTACTCTTCGCCTTTAAATGATATTGACGACCTTAAAAACAGAATAAAAGTAGATTGTCGGAGATTAAATGAAGAAATACTAAAACGTGTTTGTAGAGAGGGAGTGATAAACAGAGCTATTCTGTATTTGGAAGCAATTAGAGGTAATTTTGAACATTTGAAATAAGTATTGTTTTAAATTGTTATATTATTATCGTATTAAAACTAAAATATGTTACTTTAAAAAACATAATAACTTGTTTCCGCAGCTGGCTATCATTTTTCAGATTAAAGCTACGAAAAGTAAGGTTAGTACGTATATATAGACTTCCTTACATAGTTGAACGGAGAAAAAAATATCTTCCAGAATTGATAAAAAAATATATAGTGTGCCATTTGAACAAAAACAGTTGACTATAGCAATTTTGACATGTGTTACTATGGAAACGATCTAATAATGTCATTTAATAGAGTTTGAGCGGCGATTTATAAATATATAGGGTTTGTTATAACTATTTGTTAAAATAAAATAGATACAGGGACGCGAATACCAAACTGAATCACCCGGTATATTATTCCATCACGAATAAACAGCATCTATCAGGCATAATACTGCGGACGAAAGATCTACTTTTCAAAAAAAATATACATTATTATAAACACAAATATACCAAAAAATCTCTTTTTACACAATCAAGTAGATAGATATTCGAAAAAATAAATATCACACTAAACATTAGCATAACAATTTCTGTAAACTTCCTAATAGTGACACAGCATAAACTAATAAATTATTCATCACAAAATGTGCGTAAATGTGTGTATAGCCCAAACTAGTACAGTTAATGTCAAATACACATATGAATGCTGTATATAAGTACTTGTTTAGTTTTTCTGCCCTTGAAATTGGAACCTATAATTAGAAGTACTTAAATAAATATACCATTTTCTCAAATACAGTCAAAACGAAGGTCATGCTATTGAACCCATCGAAGGTTGTATTATAATTTCGTTCAATTGAATTACAATTTTCTTATAATTCTTTTAAATATACAGGTCATTTTTTCATAGTATCTGCAATACAGGTCGCTTTTTGGCATCTTTGTGGTCTTGGGCAGTTAGTAGTAGTGGCTACTAGATTCAGTTACATCTTTTACTTGTATTGCCTAATTTGGTCGAATGCTCTTACATCCTTCCTCAGCTTAATTTTTTGATATAGCGTTCGTTAGTCAATCCCGTGTAATATTGTGTTACGAAACCGCTAGAATTCCAACCATGGTAAAGTCCCTTGTATATAACAACTACATAAATTAATTTTACTCGTATTGTCTGATGTCTCTGATACCAATATGTCAAATTTACAAGATCTGCTGAATGATGCTTACGATTTGCACTTTTATAATATTTTTTTAACTATGTTTTCATTTTTTTTTATTAATTTGATAGTATTTCGTGTTGTGTACATTTGTTTCCTTATTTACTAAAGTTTATTTTTAACAGTACTTTTTCCTGTGCCTTTATTTTCTTACTTATTGTATTTCTATATCAACTTTATTTTGGATCCTGGTATTACTTATTTTATTTTTTTATCATACCAATTATTTCTGATTAATGTTTTGTAATTGTTAAACTAATAACTATTATTATTATTAATATGCATGTTTCTGTCCATATTCGGAGGCCTTTGTGAAAAGCTATTAAAATAGTTGTTGAAAATTTTCATGCTAAATTACATTTTTGAGCTGTATAATTTTAGATGTTATACCTATATACAGGGTGTAACGGATGCTGATGGTCAAACTTCAGGGGGTTATTATACAAGTAACAAGTACAAAAAGTAAAGTATTATAAGGTTTCTTTGGAAAGTTGATAGTTACTCTTTTATTTAACATTTTTTGATTTCAAAAAATTTTGTGCCTTCTTTCATTAAAACAAAAATATCTCTGTTATTCTTACAGCCACATAAAATTTAGATATACCATCGGAAAGAACGTTAAATTTACTACAAGATGAGCATATATGAGTGTTTAAAAAATCTTCTATATCAGGTGCTGTAAAAAGTTAAATGTAATAATTGTGAAATGAGCAAAATTAGTGCGGCATCTCCTTATTGGTGGTAACGCCAAAAATTTGTTAATGAGGACGTGTTTTGTCTTCAGCAAAAACTATCGTATTTAGTAAGCTTTTCAACGATATATCAACTTTTCAGTTTTTTTGGCAACAATATCAAGGACAAAGGTAATAAAACCGTAAAAATCGAAAATACACAAACTTTATGGCACTTTATTTTTATTTTAAGTCTGTTCGTATTACTATACGTGTAGTTTTTGTGGGAGTGTCTTCAAAAAGCTGTTTTTTTTTAACTCTCCCTCTTTCTCCTATAACCCGAAATAAATTGTAGTAAATTTAACGCTCTTTCCGATGGTATGTCTAAATTTGGTGTGGCTGTAAGAATAACAGATATTTTTGTTTTTATGAAAAAAGGCACAAAATTTTTTGAAATCAAAAAATGTAAAATAAAACAGCAAAAAAATCTTATAATACTTTTTTTTGTTGAAAATTAGTTGTATAATAACCCCCTGAAGTTTGGCCATCAACATCCGATATACCTTGCATAATAATAATTGGCAATTTTACTCAAAACTATTGTCCAATGTTTTTAACTGCTCAACATTGGCGCATCCACCAAAAGTTTAAAATAAATGTTCAATCAATTATCGGTTCTGCTTTTTACTCATTTATTGTGATCTATACAAAAACATTAGGCAAAAATAGGCTAGTGTTGAACTACTCTCACTTTTATATTTTGTGTATTTGAACAAGCTGGAAATATTCCTATTAAATTGGCTAGAAAATGTCCAAAATTTTAACAGCCTGAAAAACTTTGTTGTAATTAGAAATATTGTGTATAAGGTAAGATATCTTCTGCATATCTAGATTTCTGGTATCGAAGAATATTGTTTGATTTCATCTAATAAGACTTATATAAAAAAATGAATTTGTTTGAGTTAGTTGCTTTTAAAATACCTTACCTTTAAAATAGAATAAAAAATACGGAAATTTACGGAAACAATTTGCTTTAATGTAGTGTAGAATCCATCATTAAACTTTATCCAAGCACGTTAGTTACACTTTGCATCCTTTCATATTTTTGGCATAAGAAGTGTACCTACCTAACACATTTTTTATTTCAGAATAGTGAACCCGCGGCTCAAGACTCGGGCGACTTAAAAAAGACCCCTAGCGTGGCGAGCAGCATAGGGGAAGAACTGAGTACCAATCCCGACCCGTCGCAATGTCACGATAAGAAGAAAAAATCCAAATCCTCCCCCGCGAGGAAGAACCAGGAGAAGAAACTGAAGAACACGTTTGGATGGGCCAGGATAGACGTGATAGTCATGCTGATATGCTGTGTTCTTCTGGCTTCGCTCTCGTTCTCCATATTCGTGGAGGCGCTGCAGACTTTGGTTCATATAGACCACCACGACGCATCTCATCACCCCTTGTTGGTTTTATTTATAGGTATGGTACACGCGCTATAAGAAAACGTGGCGATAGAATGTGGAGTGATATTCTCCTCCCTCTTTTTGATATAAACATTTACTAATCGTATAAATACAGGATGTTAAGAAAGTAAGAAAAAATTTAAAGCAGTGTTGTCCAAAAAATAAAAAAAAAATCTTGAAAACGTTTCTCTTCCAAGATACAGTTTTAAAATTTGGAAAAAAAATGTATTTTTTTTTGTATCTTCCAAAGGTACAATAATATAAATAATAAATTTATTTATCAGCAACTACAACTCCAACAAGACTTTTGGAGACTGATTTTTTTAAATTTCTCTTCAAATGTAATCCTTGCCTTATAGTGCACCTACAAGGTGTTAATATATTTACAAGGTAACAGTGGCACTTTTTATCTTTTGATTTCAGGAGCAATAGGAATGGTCCTCAACGGAATTTGCTATTTACTCATAGGTGGCTACACCTTTCATCAAGGAAGCTTTCTGTACGTCACAGAAAGCGGCGATGTAGTTTTAAATAAAGTAGTGGTCAATGACTCAATCAGAAGGGGAGAGAGAAGACTGTCCAGGACGAAGAATATCCATTCCACTATCTTGCCTCCAAAGAAGAGGCAAGGGGTGTGGGAGATGACTAGAGATATTAATGGTAAATTGTAATATATTTTTTATAAAATATTAATCTAATTCTTGGTTTTGCTAATATACAGGGTGTCGCGGTACTTGATACAAAAAATTCGAGTACAGATAGATGAGGTCAAAATAATACCAGTTCTCCATATAAAGTTTTTCCATACGGCCCTTCGTTAACAAGTTACGGGCCCTCAAATTCGAAAATTAAAATCTTATTTTTATTTACAGTCTCTAAACTGTTAACTTCAGCAAAATGCAAATTTGGTGATCAATAACACATGCGTACAACTTGTTTTTGATGTAGTAAGTGAAACTTCATTATGCCCAGAATGCCAGGGACGGACTATGCCCAATGGTTAACAACCCAGATTTTTTGCATAGATGACGATCGCAATCTGCCTGTATTAAAAATAAGTTCCTTGAAGAATTTGCCAACGATAATACCCTCTTGGTTCGACTCGGTAAAATTAACAGTTTAGGAAATATTTGTGATTTTGTCACTGTGCACTCGAGCGGCGCGGCGCCCCCACCAAGAGCCTAGAAAATCTTACTATGTGCCAATGTAATTTTCACTAACATTTGACAAACACACTTTACACATAAAAATAAGTTAAAAAATAAATTAAAAGAAAGAAAACTGTCAGCATCCATTTTCAATATGGGCACCTTCAACTTCCACACACTTCCTAAGACTACGAATGTTATTTGTTTGTACACGAAAAACCATTGCTGTGGTAATAATTTAATAGGTCCATACGTTTTTGAGGAACGTCTGGACGGACATCGATATTTGGAGTTTTTGCAAAATAATTGCAGCCATTATTAGATGATATTCCTTTAGACACCTGAAGAAACGTTTGGTTCATGCACAATGGGGCTCCTCCCTATTTCAATCTTGATGTACGAAATTATTTATCCATTGTGTTTAATAATAAATGGATTGGGAAAGGACGAGCAATTTCATGGCTCCCACGTTCTCCAGACTTTAACCCGATGCACTTCTTACGTCGGGATACTTGAAAAGTTTAGTGTACGCAATTCCAGTACAGACCAGGGATGAATTGCTACAAAGAATTAATTTCCATTGTAATAATATTGGCTCTACTTCAGAAATGCTTTTTCGTGTCCAAATAAATAACATTTGCAGACTTAGGAAGTGTGTGGAGGTGAAAAGTGCCCATATTGAAAATGTATTTTGATAGTCTTCCTTCTTTAAAATTATTTTGTTAACTTACTTTAACTTATTCTTGTTTCGTTTTTCTATTTTGTGTTAAGTGTAAAGTGTATTTGTCAAATTTTGTTAGTGAAAATTACATTAGTACTCAGTAAGATTTCCTAGGCTCTTATTTTAAAAATATATTCGGTTCTAACAAAGTAATTATGTCCAATTAAAAATTAAAAACAAAAAATGGTGGAGGTGCCGCTCGATGTGCACTGTGACATAAAATCGCAAATACTTCCTAAACTGTTAATTTTACCGAGTTGAACCAAGAGGGTATTATCGTTGGCAAATTCTTCAGGGAACTTATTTTTGATACAGGCAGATTGCGATCGTCATCTATGCAAAAATTTTGGGTTGTTAACCATTGGGCATAGTCCGTCCCTGGCGTTCTAGGCATAATGAAGTTTCACTTACAACATCAAAAACAAGCTGTACGCATGTGTTATGGATCACCAAATTTGCATCATGCTGAAGTTAATAGTTTAGAGACTGTAAATAAAAATAAGATTTTAATTTTCATCTCTGAGGGCTCGTAACTTGTCAACGAAGGCGCGTATGGAAAAAATTTATATGGAGAGTGCTATTATTTTGACCTCATCTATCCGCACTCGAATTTTTTGTATCAAGTACCGGGACACCCTGTATATAAAAATAATTGGGGTATGATAGAACTAAGACATTGTTCTAAAATCGTATTCTCTTCAGGCTGTGTTTTGGTGATAATATGTTCCTTGATGATTTTTTTCACGGACAAAGATATAGCGAAATACATCGACCCTTTAATGTCGTTGGTTTCTGTGACGATTATAATGGTTTTGAGCTATCCCTACAGTAAGTAATTAACGTAGCAAGGTATTTAGATGTACTCCAATCGAATTAGAAACGTGAAAAAATTATTAGTAGATCTTTTATTACACTTTATGACGCGAAGGGGAAGTAACTCGAAAGAAGTGCCGATGCCGCTAAGTTGGCAAATTGCAAATGCATAAGTGGGAAATTTACGTGTCTTTTAACTTTTTACTGCCCACGAAAATCTAGACGACCTGTCGGAAAATTAGTCATTTTATGTTGTAGACAATTAAATTGCCTACAACTTAAGATATCTAAAGTAATAATTTACCAGTTTTTTAACTATGTAAAATATTGGTTGAATGCGGAAAAATCAGTTTTCGAAAATTGCGCGTTATTATTGCAAAAAGTGATGGATGTTGATGAAATTTATGGAAGAGACGGTCAATCCGAAGACCAACATGTGTGCCCAAAGGTCGATTCGATTGATCTTGAAATTGTCGCAGCAGCTATTTGTTAATTTCTTTCGTTTTTTTGCAACTAATTGTTTAATTACTAAACGTTAATTTTAGAAACGTATCGAAAAAGAAAAATTTCAAAAAGTTGAAATTAAGCAGCCCATTACAACTAACAAAGTAGGATGTGCAAAACAACGTTCGTATCTAAGGGTCAGGCAAAGGCCGCTCGGTAATTCGCTCTTTTTACATTAAATAGAGCTTTTTTATGGTAATTTTACACGTATCGGGCCGGGATTTTAGAGACAATTAAAGAAAGGGTTAAACTTTGTTTTTCAGAAAGTTCTACATTGATCATTTATGTAATAAACGCGCTAGCAGCAGTAAAAGTTAACATTAATGAACGGCCTACACACGGGAGAAAGAACCTGGGCCCGCGCTAGCGCATGGATGTCGCTCCCGATCGCATGCGAGATTTTGGAGTCGAATTTGAAACGTTCAAGTCAAAAATCTTCTTTCGAGTTACTTTTTTGTTTTTTTTTTCAAGTTTTCAGGTTTTACGATCTAATTCGACTGGAGTAATAAGAAATAACAACCTCTAACAATATATTTTCAATAATTTTTCAGTATGTTAAAAAATATAACCATTAAAACACTGGGAACGAGCGATTCCCACCTTTTCTTAAGGAATTTTTTATTAATTTAATTAGGCAACCTACATTTTTTTGCGAAATGCAGTCGATAATTGTAGACATACTGCACACTGACATTAGAACGTCACGATTTAATAGAAAACGTGAGTTAATATGTTTACCTACTATCTCGTTGAAATCCTTTTCGTTTGAGAGAGGACACATGCATTTCATAATATACAGAGTGATACGCAGTCATCGTTTCGATACTATTTCCTTGATTAGTAGTAACTTATTTTATTTAAGAACTTATAAATTTATAAAAAATGTAGAAGATATACAATGAATCCATATAAATTCTATTGTATGAAAAAAAAAAAATCAAAAAGGGCACCACGAACATTACTTAAATGTATTTATCAAAAATTCCAGAGACGGCACTGGGGCATCATAATTAGATATTTTAAAGGAAAATTTGCACATGCCACTGCATTTTTATAAGCTTGGTACGATTTTGAACAAAATTAAAAATTTATTTCTTTTTTATTTATTTTTTAGCAACGCCGTAAAGTTAGTAAGCATTTGGCACATGTCTACCAAACAAAAAACGTTCTAAATATAAGCTGCTGGTGCATTTTGTCTCCCTTCGCCATAAATTAAACAATATTAAATACTTGTAAAACTGATGTAAACTGCTGATGCTGATGATCACTCTGTATACTCTTTTATTTAAATATCGCAATAATGGAAATCACCGCGAAAATTAAAAAAATGTAACAAATAATTATATGATGTAAAGGAAAATCGTTCGTGCCCATAAAGTGATTAACACAACTATCATAATTATTTCATTGCCTTAAAATTTCGTCTGATCCGTATTGCTGCATATCATAAAAAAGATCAAATTCCAATCTTTATCGAAAGATCCAAATAAAAAAATTAATTGTATCTTATTTTATGGCCTTTATTAAGTTTAACTGATTTACATCTCCAAGTTAGGAAGATAACCTTTTTGAAAAGTCCCGATTGTACGATTAGGAAAATTACTTATTTTATTCTTTTTTCTAGTGAAGGAGAGCGGTCTTATTTTGCTTCAGACCATCCCAGCTACCATAAACATCCACTCTCTTAAAGCGGAACTTTTAACTCACTTCCCTGACATCGTCAACGTCCACGATTTTCACGTATGGCAGCTAACAGCGTCGAAAGTCATTTCGACGGTTCACATAATTTTCGAAAATCCGAAGGTAACACGAATTTCTAAAAAATATTTTCATATATACTGATTTTTCTGACACTCAAGAAGCGTATATCCTCTCTTCTCCTTTAGGTCTACAACAAAATCATGGAGGAAGTGAAGGAGTTCCTTATTGAAAAGGGCATCACTCAGGTGACTATCCAGCCGGAGTTTTTCGCGGAAACCGGAAGCACGGAGAGTTTGAATTCCAATAAATTCAAACCTGAATGTTTGATGGCTTGCCAAGGACCAGGATGCAAGCAAAGCCATTGCTGTCCAAATTATGAGGTAAAACCCGTTTCATACATGACCAAACCTGTTCTTTTTCTCATTTAAAATTCCACCCTTGTACCCGTTTTGTCCCCCGAGAATCTCAACAAGTCCATGAAATTTCTTTTGAAAATAGTCTATAGAGTGGACAATGGTCCCAAATGAAAATCATCAAAGTCACCTCGAAGTAAAAAATGTTTTCCTTCTTTTTACTTTATTCACATTACCATCTCTCTTTAGAGAGATCCGCAAGTTCATGAAATAGTCCGTAAAAGAAAATTTTGAAAAGTTACTAAGAAATGAACGGAAAATGTGAAGGAAATAATTCAGAACAAAAGCAGATACTTGATATCGCCTTTACAAGGCACCAAAAATGAAAAAATAAAAACGTTTCAAAATAAAACTAAATACGCCTTGGAATAGCTTCAGGAAATATACATCAAAAGAGTGTCAAAATCCATAAAAATTCTTCAAACTGATTTTAGAATTCTTCAAAAAGCACCCAAACTTCTAAATACATTGAAGCGATTCAGAAATAAAATGAATCAAAACAGTTTTAGAATACAAGATATATCGGACCTGCTTTAGAAGGCTTAAAAATTTAATTTTCCTTTGTGGAATACAGTAAAATAGATCGAATAATATTCAAAATATATCAAATAGCATTAGAAATACGTTGAGAACTTCGAAATACCACCAAATGTGTCGAAATACCTCGAAATCTACAATATACTTAGAAATCAATTAGATTGAAACCTGTCCTTTGTCTTTGAGATCTAAGAGGACCTTTTTTTTCAGGAGACCAGTATATTCAAAACTCCCTCCAAGGAGTTCCTTCAAGAGCAAAATCTTCCCGAGCTAAAGTCCGTCAGGGTCATAGACCCGGAACTGTCGGTTCCTTCCAGTATGCATCCTAGTTGTAGTGGAAGTAGCACCAGCAGTGTGAAAGTGGATGAAGACATTACCACCACCAAAGACAAAACAGGTTCCTCGAACAATGTCTGCCCAGAAGCTAGTGTACAAGACAGTAACACACTTAGTAATAATGTAAATAGTCCTTCAAACGATGTAGATCCAAAGGATACTGTAGAAACAATAGAAGATGCATCTGTAGTGTGACAAACTGTAAGACTAATTAAAAACATTGTCGAATATTTTAGAGATCCTTTACTTGGCTGTGCTAATTTTAGCGTGATAATTATTTAGAAGTCAATATATAGTTATTTAAATCGATTTTTAAAGGACGAGCAAAGTTTTCAAGAGAATTGATAAGTATAAGAGGATGATAAAAAGTGAAGCTGCAGATAAATGTTTTCAAGGCTCAGATATATTGTTTGTCAAGAAACGAATGCTTGTCATAATGACAGGCAGGTTAAAGACTAATAAAGTTTTAACAATAATTTATGAATCTGAGATTCATGTAATTTAATATAAATGAATATGTGGGTACAGCTCAGTTCATTTTCTACTCAGTTTAAAAAAATATATATGATGACAAATCTTTACATCAACTTTTAAATTCTTTGACAGAAGTTTATATTAATTTAACGGCTAAATCAAACTGTGATTACTTTGTTGAGAAATACAATAGGTACATTGCATCGATAAACACTAAGGGATTCCTCAGGGATCTATTTTGAGTTCTTTCAAATGTAGAGAAGCTAGCTTGTCGCGGAATCTTTAAATTTTATATATTTAGACTAATGTTAGTATAGTTTTATAATACAGTAATTTTATATTTGGACCAGTTCGTCTGCCTTTAAAATAAAGGTAAACTTTACGGTTTTTATTTTAGTTCTGTAATTTTAAATAGTAATTCAAAATTTTAAACATGTTTTAATATCTTTTAATTTAGAAAATATAAATAGGACCTAACTGACTAAATATAATTATTTATAATAATCTGCAATGGATAGAAAAATGCATATAATATTTCAATATTAATGACACAGTTCAATTTAGATCCTTACTGACGACTGCAAACTACCTAATAGTTTCATGCACCACTGCCACTGAGATTCGCATAGACGACGATTATAATTACAATAACTTTGCGACTAAAAGTACAAAATAATTTCTAGTGTTACGAATTCGTAAAAACGTTGTTAATTATGTTTATTGACAATAAAAATTATTATTTATACTATGCGTTAATATTTTTTTATCATTTTCACATTTTATTCACCATATTAAAGGTACAGTTTTCCAGGGAAAATTGAAAAGAAATATTTAAAAATTGATATGCAAATAGGTACAAGTTTTAAAACACAACTTTAAATTTATTTAACCTTTTCTTGCCTTGCTTATATTGATAGACATTTCTAAACAGCTTTTTCCAGAGTCGTGATTCGCCATCAGCTTCATAGTGCTTGTGCCTGCTGCCAACCCTAACTGGTTTTTGAACAGTCCTATGTTGACTTTTTTGTTTGGTAGGGAGCAGTAGTTCTTCTACAAAAAGTAATAACTTTAAGCCAGGGTTGGCTCTAGCCATTTGACACTACATAAAAAAGTGTCCGGTAATGAATGCGCCAAATCTCAAGAGCAATTTCCTTAGGTGGCAATAAATCGACTTGAATCAAGTTATCTTAGTACAGCCGATATTCGGGAACAGTGTAAAACAACTAACTTGACTTTTTTGTTGAATTTGCACCTAAATTATTTTTTTACGAAATTAAATTAAATTTACAATGTGATATACGAGGCACATCCACAAAATAAGAGTACTCAATTTTTTTAATTTCGAAACGGCAGTATGTTCAGAAAGGTACATCAAGCACTATTTTTCGACTAGTCGCCTTCTAAGGGATGAGCTTTCACCACTCACAAACACCTTCAAAGAAGAGAAAAGATGAAAATCAGAAGGTGTCAGGTGGTTGATAATGTTCCAATCGAATGAATGCAAGAGTTACTTTGCGTCGTTGACTGTGTTCTCCTTCTTTTGTTCTGTATCGCCATCCGTAGTGTTTTCAGGGTTGGCAGCATCAATTGTTTTTCCCTGGGACGAAAAGTCAATGAGGAAACTCCCTTTACGGTCCAAAAACACAGTTGCCATGACTTTTCGGGCCGAGACAACATTTTGAATTTTTTGGAGATGTTGGAGACAGATGTCGCTACTGCATTGATTGTCTCTTCGTCTCAAGTATAGTGGGCCACAAACGTTTCATCGCCAGTCACAATACAGTCAAGGAATTCTTCACCTGGACGAATTCGAAATAGCGGTACTCATTTCAACACGCCACTAGAACAACAGTTCTCAACTGACTGAGACAAATGACGGCGCGTTCTGGTCCCAACGCATTGACCTTGAATGCAATGTTGCCAACTTTGTCGAACACAAAAACCACAGAGCATCAGAGTCTCAGTACCTACTCTTACTTTGTGGATATGTCTCGTATCAAGAAGGAATTTTAAATTAAGTCTAGGTAAGTTGGTCTACATCGTAAAAAATTCAATTCGGTTACAAATTGAGCAAATAACTGAAGTTTAATTAAATTAAGTCCCCGCAAATATTCAACAAACAGCATCTGACGGTTGCTGTAAAAAAAATTAATTCCATCTTTCTCTGGAAAGGTACATTTTCGCTACATACAAAAAGTATATATTTTTTAAATAAATAAATAGGTGTGTAAAAAATATGGTGAAAGAGAAGACTGTTTAAAATGTCCCTAGTAACCTCTATGTCTTAGGTAAAAAAATAGATTTTTTTGGATACCCTTAAGTTTTTAAGGACTCAAAATTGTATTAAGGTAACTTGATCTATTATAAATAGGTTTATTCGCTTCCCGACACTGCATAATATTATTTTGTTACAAATAAATAAGGCGATTAGACTGTGATTATACTTTATAAAATAAATCAGTCTAATCCCCTGATCAGTTAATCAACCTTTAACCGAGACTCAAAGTACCGGACCTTAGAATAATAAATCAGTGTGATATTTTTGTTTCTGGTTAGAAAACACTGTAGCGTCGGCTGCTGAGAAGTGATCATATTTTTATAAAGAAGTATAGAACCCATACCGTTTTTTAGGTGTAGATTTGTGAGGCCACAAAAAGAACTTTCGTGATGGAAAATTGTAACATTAAGTGCAAATTGAAATAAGTACTTATGGTTAAAGATAGATTCAGTCATGGAAGTCCAGCTTTATGCTATATAAAATTTTTACTAATGAAATTTTCCTGTTGATAAAGCTAGTATAACAATTTAAATAAAACAATCACAAAATATGGTAAAAGTTATACCTTAAAATATAAATCAATAACACTCGAGTCGTAAAGTGTAGATTAAAAAAATAGATAAACAATATTTACCTACTTACCTACTTGTCTTCTTATATTGAGAACTATAGCAAATGTATAGATAAATAAAAAAAATATTGTTTTAATGATAAAATATATCAAATATATGCATACAAACTGTCGGTTCTTTTTCCTTAAACTGTTTTTTTATTACGTTTGTAGTGTTTATTATAATCACTAAATCCTTTTTTTATTTCTCCCAAAATTTAAGTTTCTTTGAAGTTAACTTCAACTTAAAAAAATGAAAATTTTATAAAAAGAACACTTAATTGTATTTATTTGTTGATTATGAAAAAAAAACCTTCTCGAGATCCCAAGGCACCCCTATTTTAATTTCATATTTTGCAAATTTAATTCGAAATTTCTTCTTTACGTAAGTAAGTTCTCTTTGGAGGCCTTAAAATCATCTCCTAAAAAACGGTTTTTATTTATAAAAATAAGACCACTCAATATTGCGCCGCTGTATAACAGTGAAAATTATGAGTAAAATAAAACCTCACTCATTTTTGAGTTTCTGTATTTTTCAAAGAAGTAGGCAAAAAGTCAACTTACAGCGGCAACAGGGCATTTGCTCGGTGCGCCCATAGCAGCCAAAGTTTCTTTAATAGTTGGTAAGCCGCCTGCTATAACCTCGCAGAAATCCACCTCTCCATCTAAGGTTGGTAAAGGGGGTTTCTTCATTAAATACGTTCCCTAAAAATCAGTAATATATTTTTATGTTATAAAATATGAGGAAAAAATTATATATGAAAGAATCATATTTACTTCACAAGTATGATTATAATATATACGGAGCGTTCGCTAAGTATTTGCAGAAATTCCAGGGATGTATTCTATGGATTCTATGGATTAAGTCAATATAGAGTCCTAAAGCCGTCGTTTTCGAGCTATAGGGCCTCCAAAATAAAAAAATTATCAATTTAACATTTTCAATTTCTAAACAGCTTGAGATATTTTTAACATTTGGTATATAGTTTCATTACGTTGGTAGGTATAAAATAAAAAAAATCAACTTTCACAAATAACGGGTGTTGTTTATTTCGACAAAAAAGTAGTACTGTATTTGTTGTGCCTACACGTTTTTATCGTATCCTTTATACTGTTTAAAGACAAAAATTTATTATCTTGACAGGTGTATCTTTATGATACCTATTACTATATTAGAAGCTATCAGATAAATAAAACAAATAATGAACTAGGAGCAATATATTGGAAATAGCCTTCAAATTGAATCTTATCTGAGGATTAGATAATACTTGTAGGTATACCTAAACTTCTGGTAGATTTCATTTGATAAGATTAAAAAAGTTGAATTTGTTTGGATTAGCTATAATTCGTTCTCGTAATTGCTCTTCATATACATACAATAGGAGCTTTGTAAACAACAAAATCTATAACACATGTATGACGATCTTCAATATTTTTTAATATGGCTTCTTCTAAATGGGCTGGTCTAACCGTCAAAGGTCCTCCCGTACTTGGTGTTTTTTTTAAACGATCTTGACTCTACAAGTCGTCTGAGAAAGTTTGTGACAGTTTTCCGAGGCAAAATTAGACGATTATGAAATCTTTTAGCATAAATTTGCCTAACTTAATAACAATTTCTATGTCTGCAAGACCATAACATAAACATAAATCATATTTGTCAGTTTGCTATTTGCGTAAGTGACCTTAATGATAGTAGAAAGAATTGAAACCTTTACTTTATTTACTTTTTAAAAAGCTTAAATTTTGCACTAAAATATAACTATGTACTTACAATACTTGTCAAAATGACAAAAAAAAATATAATTTATTCATTAAAAATATAATTAATTCATTATTTGTTATAACTCCTAGCACGCTAAGGTAAAATTATGCTATATCAAAAAATACTTGTTAAGAAAATCAATTTTCTCGCTAAATGGTGAAGGGAAAATAATGAAGAGAATACCTACAGTTAAGCGTATGAAGATAAATTTTGATTGGAATGCAGGGTGATACAACGTTTTTGTAAACGAAGACATGGTAGTATCCATAGTTCTGTCACTTCTTATCTATAAAAGCTACATTTTTTTGTATTTCAATAACTAAAAAAACATATACAAATTGGTTAAAATATCTCAAGCGATCTAGAAGTTAAAAATGTTAAATAATTATTCTTTTTTTAAATTCTGGAGACCCTGTAACTCGAAAATGACAACTCTATGTTAATTTTAGTTATAGAAAACGTCTCTGGATTTTCTGCACGAACTTAGGAAAAACACCATTATGGTCACAGCAAATGTAAACTAGCAAATTCAGATAAGACGCACGTAGAAGGCTGCGCATCGTTTTTCAGTGTGCTGGGATCCTCCACAGCTCGCCAGCTGTGTGTAATAAACAGTAACGGTATTTAAACATTTTACTATTTGCAAATAGTGTCCAATATAATCCATACTGTGTATTATGTTTTAATGTAACATAGATTTTAATGTTTTAATTTTACCAAAATTTATTTGCCAGTGAGAAGGAAATAAAATTCTGTTCCACACAAAATTAGGTACTTGTCATATGGCTTGTAATCATTTATAAAGACTGTATATGCTGTGGCGCAAACCTGCGTAAAAAATTGTACGTCACTGAAGGGCAAAATTGTTGACGTTATATTTTGTACATTTTTAACAACTGATTTGGCTTTTCGTCTTTTCGAATATGGTGTGTTGCGTCTATACATTTTCTATTTGTAATTAAATGTACAAATGTCCGCCAATAGTACAACCAGCGCCCTCTCCGAACGAGATGATTATCTACTGTTTTTGAAATTTTCACCTTAAGAACGATTTCACTAAAATTTTGATGGGTTAGAATTCAGGACATCTGTTTTTAAATTTTGACGCTGAACGAAATTAAACTGGAACTGAATTTCAATATGTATATGTTTACCTACCGGACTGGTTTTTATAGGCTTAGTAACATTGACACATCCTGAATAGACCAAATTGCAGTCCTTGTCCAACATCACTTCAAAATTTTCTGCCATTTTTAGAACGTTATCAGGATCGCAGTTCTTAATGTTGGTCAATTTCAGGGTGTAGCCATTCTAAAATGTTAAAAAAAATATAATTTAAAATGAAAAATATAATTTATTATTTGTCTAAATTTCTGAAATATCCTACAAAACTCATGGTATTCCTTTTATTTTTATAATCTACCATAGGCGCCGGAATTTCTAAATTGCTATAGGTGTTCAAATCGGAAATAATAATAAAAGTACAGAGTATCTGGAAACTAAGCAAAACCATTTAGGAAGAATTTTAGGCAGAAATCCACTCATAAAAATAATAATACCAGCTCCTATGACAATTTTACGAAAACTGAATATTAAGTGAGTTATATAACCTCAAAGATATTTTTTTCATTATTGATAACAAACTGCTCTTAGAAAAAAAATATTAAAATCCTAAAATCTTATAGGATTTAAAGCGTTTAAGCGAAATTGATCAGAACTGTTTTATTTATGGTTTTTAAAAAAATTAATTTTTACCATAAAGATCTTTAGGCAACCTTAAAAAAGGGATCTCCTGTTCTAAGTAGATAATCGTTTTCGAGAAAAAGGGAGTTTTAATTTTTTAATCACACGTTTTCCGTTCAAATTTGAGTAAATTATTTCTATTTTTAAATTTTACAATTTTATAAAATTAACCGACATCATTTAAAATTATTTTTTGATACTTTTGATAGGTACGTAGAAATTGAGTACAACAAAAACTAAAAACGTTACAGTTTTAAGTCTGACGATATGACTGTATTTAGTTATTTTAACATTTTTCTTTAACTTCAAATATAAGATAATTATGATTCCCTTTTTTATCACCACCTATTTTGTCAACACTTACACAAGCACTGGTACCGTCGAAGCTGAAAAATACAACCACCAGTGCAACATACACTTTGATTGAAATCATGATGTATAAATAAATTTTAATGAATGACACGTTTATTCCATTTACTATCAATTTATATGGATAGAATAATGATGATTAACTTCAGAACTAATGTTATTTAGTACATCTGTTATTTGGAAAAACCTTGGCTTTATAAAAATCTGTTCCGACTTGATTGTTTGCACCATGGTCCATTTACTCCTACGCTGATATATCAGCTTTTGCGTAATTATAAAACAATTACCATAAAACCAGAGATAGATCAGTTGGGAGTTATTAATGAAGTTTGAAAATACTATTGGAGTAGGTATTTAAAATAAAGAAGTATATTTAGAATTTGTTAACAGCAATAATGTAAAACAGTATCATTCTCGTACTTGTGTTCAGCTTTCTACCATTTGACCGCTGATTTATACAAAAATATGTGAAGAAAAAAATAATCGAATACTTGACATGACAAATATTATACAATTGTACCTATCTTTATAGCCAGTTATAATTTAGATATTCATAAAATATCTAAATAGACTTCAGGTATAAAAAAATAGATTACTTTTGTCTCTAAAATTATATTTTTTATTTGTTTTCAAAATATTTTTAAGTACTTTTCTCAAAAAGAGCACGCCACTGGAAAACCTTTACGTAGTGTAATATCTCTTTATCATTCCTAATTTTTTTTTTGATTTTAAAAAATACTAGTGGTGCAAATATAATTTCATCATTTATTCCATTATTGAAATTTTCAGCAAACCCAGCATTTTTTAACGCGTTTCTGGAAACAACATCGTGATTGGTGGTTAAGTTTTTTGAGTTACCGTACTGGAGCCGGAGCGTGTTCAGATAAATATGTTGGATGCTATCTGGGTCTCTTATCTCTTTCTAATGCATTCATATTGCCCAGCAACGCCCGAAGTTTTATCTGAACGTACCCCTGTAGTGCAGAGTGGTGTAAATTTTGGATTATTAGTGCAATAAAATAACTGCAGATAAGCAGATATGTTTTGTGAATTGCAGTAATACCTGTGAAAAGTCAGCTGAGCATACTGTCAAAGAAGATAAGTTGTTTTATCTTCTGTGGTACTGTGTTACTTGTTAGCAGTGTTTCTGTTTACTGCGAGGAGTGCGAGGTTTACTTGTAGAAGTAAGGAGTAGTCACAAGCGGTGCGATTTGAATTGAATTTATTAATGCACGTTAGCAGTCATTGAATCTCTTAATAAAATAAGAATAGAATGCTAACTGAATAATAACCTTCTACATACAAGTGTTTATTAAATTAAGAGTGTACAAGTGCGGGTAGTATCTATTTTAAAGCTAACTGGCGGTGTTTAGGTGTTATTAGTGCAGCTACTTCCGTTTACATGCGTTTTACGTATTAAAAATTCGCCTAAAAAGACAAAATGCCTGTTTCTGTAAATTTTCGAGACAATGGATAATCGTTTCGTTTGTTATTACAGTAATAACTTTGTTATTTCTAAACGCCGTACCACGGTACTATACATGTAAGTATAAATACACCCTTTACAAAAAGAAACAAAGGTATCATGCCACACAAAGACATACCATTGTACACCCCTTCCATCACAAAATTCCCACAAAATTGGTTCTAATATACCTTTTATAATCCCCAGTTGAAGTTATTTTTTTGTACAATAAGTCATTACCTACAATATTTTTCAGCAAATACCACATATTCATCCATTAAATCGAAGGGCCTAGAGCAAAATATAAATAGGTTTTTTGCCAAAGAAGATTTACCCAAAAACTCTTATACAACCCCAGGGAACGATCTACCAAATAGTGACCGATGTGAGACTATACACATCGGCGTAGTTTGCTCAGGATTCGGTGCTAGTTTGTATTTTCATACTCTTTTAAAATCCATTTACTTTTATAGAGTTAATCCCCTACACATTCATGTCATTGCGAACAGTATTTCTGAGAAGATTTTGAGGACATTGTTCGATACTTGGAATGTGCCACAGGGTGAGAATATTTTAACATTAATTTACATAGATACATTTTTATGCTTGTTTTTGTGTTCCCACTTCCTATTTTGCACAAATAAATTATTTTTAGAGCTAATATAAATGCGTTCTAATAAAAAATAAGTAGTTAAAAATATTCAAGCTATATTAAGTATCTAGTAGAATGAAAATATGAAATAATATTATGTAAAGGTAGATAAGTAATCCCATGAAAAGTTTAAAACAAAGGAGATTGTGATAAAGTATGGCATACTCCTACTTATAGATAAGCCTCATTATACTAATCAATATTATTATTTATTATTTTTTTAAATATGTATTTTATTAGGTATCAGTTCTCGTATTTTACTTTATTTTACATGATTTTTAGAAAAAGTTTTGAATTTATTTATTAAATTACCTTCATATGTTTAAAATAAAGTAATAATAATCAATATCATACTCCCTCATATTTCTGTATGGCATTTTTAATAAGTACCTACGTTGGATATTATAATTATCCAGTATTTCAACAATTTGTTATAAGGATAAGATAAGATAAGATAAATATGACACATAGTAGTCTAGAATAAATACATAATTTAATAGGTAACATTTTTAGCTCAAATAATAAAAACATTCACTTTATGCAAAATGTAAAGTGCGAAAATTAAATGACACTCAAAAGTTAACAAAGGAATGAGTTCAGGCGCAAGGCTTGCTTTTCTATTAAGCTTGATGTAGAGGGCTCTGATTGCTCATTTGTCACTTATTTTAAATAATTTTGTTTTAGTAAACATCACATTCTACGATTTAAATCGGTATACAAGCGAGTTGAGATGGATACCAAACAGTCATTATTCTGGGATACACGGACTGATGAAATTGGTGTTCCCAAGAATCATACCTATTGAATTAACTAGCAAATTATTGGTGCTAGATACTGACATCACAGTTGTGAACGATATATATGAGCTGTGGAGCTTGTTCAAATATTTCAATAAAAAACAGGTATGTACCTCCAGTGCTATCTATGATTTTTCGTGGTGTCCAAAATTGTGCAAGCAGCAGGTTTTGTCATGAAGCGGTTATTAAATTCATTGAAAATTACTAGAAATTACCTGTTTTAAATTTACCAATTTTCAAAGAAATTTTTGCAATTTGCTATATTTGTGATATCATTTTACATAGTCAATTTACTAGTCGGAATCAATGCTAAAATTCTATTGTATCCAAATTATTTACCCACATTATTGAAGCAAGGAAATCGAGCACAGTTTATGAGTTGCATTATACCGATATAGGAAACTTAACAAATATCTTGCTCTATTTATTGGGCCAAAATCTGGTAAATGTAAAACAGGTGTTACATCAAACAAAAATCAACCTTTTAGGTTTTTATCAAAATAGCTGAAGTAGTGTTTTTTATATCAATTTACCGCCTTAATCTGTCTTGTAAATTTGTTTTTTACCAGAGTGATCTCAAAATAATCGTTCAGTTTAACACATTCAAATATCCTTTATGAATCGTCAATCTAGAAGTTATTCATTTTTTATAAAAGAATACATTTCATTGTTTTACAGAATTTCAATTTTAATGCTATTAATAAAATATCATTTTACCCGCAAACAATAAATACAAAACTATTTCCTAATGTTTGATATATAAATAATCAGACATCTGTCTAGGCTTGAACATATCAGCATAAACCACTTGATTTACAATACGATTGGATACAAACAAGATAAAAATATATTTTTGTACATGTTGCAATATAAAGTTAAAATTGTTATAAAATTTTACAAATTAAAAATATATGACTCTTTCCTGCACTAAAAATTATTCAATACTTTCTACTTATTCTTAACGTTTCCATATTTTCAACACACATAAGTTTGTTATTTCTGATGGTATACCCTGTATTTTTTAGAGCATTGACTTTCTACAATATTTATAGTCTATAAAAATTATGTTATCTTAATAATTTGTTAAATTAGCCATTTTACGAGAGGAATTATCACCAAAAATACACTTCATAGCTTTTTGAGTGTACATATCTGGAAATATACGGGATGTTCTATTAAAAATAACAAACTGGCGATAGTTCTTCAAAAATATTAAATTATGTAAAACGGTAATACACCACTGTGCTCTATGGAAAATACAGTATAAGTATCATTTAAAGTTTTGTTAGTACCTATTATAACAACAGAAACACAGGAGCCAATAGAAATTGGCTAAATTTGAAAAATGTTAGTATATTGAAAATCAATCAAGCCTGTACCCCGTTGTCCCATCCAAAATGAATCAACCCTGTACAGCTATAAATCAAGAGACACTATAGATCAAGGGTCGGCAACTGGCGGACCGCGGTCCAGGTCCGGACCGCGAAAGGTAAAATACTGGACCGCCAAAAATTTTTTTAAAGTATAAATTACTCAAATAAATTATTTAAAAAATGTTTTTTTACGTTTGAGTGACAACCTTATCATTTTTTCTAGTATTTTACAATTGTGTAAGTGTTTTGAGTTCTTAATGGTTAGTAAGCAGATTAAATTTGAGGTCAAATGAAAATTTGTAAGAAATATGAATTTTTTTCTGGACCTCGTTAAAAATTTTTAAAAGTATCCGGACCCCACCTAAAATTACTTGCCGACCCCTGCTATAGATTATCAACACTCTGTGTATGTACAGAATGTTTAATTATATTTTTGTACCCCCAAAATCTAATCTGAAACTACAGAAAAATAATAAAAAAAGATCTTAAATGAAGTACTCTTCTTTCACTGTAAACCAATTATAATTTTATTAAAATTTTTAGGCTATTGGCATAGTTGAAAACCAGAGCAATTATTATACAGAAAGAAGCCAACATTACAATCCATGGCCTGCTATAGGGAGAGGGTAGATATCTACTTTTTTGTTTTTTATTTGTTTTATTATTGAGAATTTATTACTGAAAAAATGTAATCAAAAATTTTATTTTTCTTTTCTAGACCTGAATTAATATTTCTAAATATTAACTTTTTTGTTAATATTTACTTTTCCGTAGATTCAACTCAGGAGTACTCCTGTACAATTTATTAGTTCTAAAGAGAATGGAGTGGCCCAAGTTATGGTCCGAGGTGACTAAGAGGACTACCCTCGTATACGGGCCTACCCGTTTGGCAGATCAGGATATAATAAACGCTGTCTTGAAGGAGAATCCTGAGATGCTGTTTGAAGTGCCTTGTTATTGGAATACACAACTAAGCGATCGCACATTGAGCCAAAGCTGTTACAAACAGCATGTAGTTAAGATAATCCATTGGAATTCCCCTAAAAAATACAATGTACACAACAAAGACGGTGATTACTTTAGAAATGTCGCCTCTGGATTCATGGAATATAATGGAAATTTGTTAAGGAAGCAGTTATTATTCTGTAATAAAGCTCAAGCTGTTGCAACTGTAAGTACGAAAAAAAAATATTTATACATATACAGGGTGTTTCATAATGATATGCAAATATTTTAAGGTATTTAAAAAGTCATTTTCGGGGGGTGGGGGGGGGGTGTACTTCCAATAAATTTTTTCGATTCTAGCCCCCACAGAAAATATTCAAATCTCAAAATGGCCGAAAAAATTAGCTTTTATTTTTTTTATTAAATTTTTAGTTCATATTTGCTTAGCTTTTCCTATTGATAAAAAAGAATTTTTACAAAACGCATGTCAAAAATGACGATCGTTTTTGGTAACTGTTGTACTAATTTTATGTGTACCTAAACAGCAAGGAAAAATAATTTATTTTTTTGCTCATAAACCATTAAGTATTATACGAAAAAATGGGAAGAGCAAAAAAGTTTCTAAATGAAATGTAGTATTAAAAACTATTTTTCTTGTTGGAATAGGCTAACGTAGAAAAAAGGTGTGAGAGAAATAAAACCAAGGGGTGCTAATTTATTTCATTCAAAGACATAAACCAGAAAAAAAAGACTACCAAAAAGTACCATTCACCTAGTTGTTAACGTGTCTAAGTCTAACCGTTTTCGTGAAAAAAAAAATATAAGCTAAATTTTGTATATATATATATATTTTATATTTACTTGTAGAATCATTCAGAGGAGCTTTGTTCGGAATTCCATAGACTTTTAAGCACAAGTTGGAGGACGCTTCTCTTTTTTAGGGAATATAAACATTCCGTTTCAGTAAATGATGTTACATTTGTTGCTCAATTGTCTTACGATAGGTTACAGACCATAGAAGAACTTGTTAAATGTTGGCCAGGTATGTACTGGTATTCTGTAAAAAATTTGAACTTTATACAAATTTACAATGGGAACTATAAAATATTGATGAAATAAACACTTCTTGCATTTAAAATCCTTAAATGTTAGCAAAATAGATCATCTATATCTTTAAACTGTAAATTTAGATTTGTAAATTATCACAACTGACTTAACAAGCTCTAAATTTACCTACAGTTTATAAGTAGTTAGTTGTCAACTATATCAGGTCTATAATTGAAGTTATGTAAATTACATTTGTAAACTTACAAATGTAAACATACATTTTCTTTCTAATTATGACGGCTAACTTGTAAATTTACAGTTTACAACTGGTTGGTTGACAAACGGTTCGTAATAGACATTTAGTTAAATTATATGTGTAAACTTACAAAGAACCATTGTAAATTTACTGTCTGATATTCAATTATTTCTACTATAAATTAAAATGAAGAAGATAAATCTACAACTGTAAAAATTAGACAACTAAACACCTGTAAATTTGCATTGGCTAACAATTATGTGGCGGGTCCATAATTGCAGGTTATGTAAATTACAGGCATAATAGTGAATTTAACTATTAAGTGAAGGAAATATATTTACAACTAATAACTATATATTGGGTTTATAATTGACGGATATGTAAATTTACAATTGTAAGAAAATAGAATATTGAAATATTTCTTGTAAATTTGCAATTTACAATTAGTGTCAGTTATGTACTAAGTTCATAATTGATAGGTAAATAAATTTCCTGTGTAAATTTACAACTGTAATCATATATGGACATTTTTGGCAATGTTTCATTAAAATCTGTTGTTAGCTTGATTGATAAATTAAAATGAGAGTAAATTTACAGAACCTCCGAATTTAAAACGGTATAAACTATATCAGCTGAACTTTGTAATTTACCACTAACCAGTGGTAAATTTACAGTTTACAACTGGTTAGTTCCCATTTTATATAAAAGGCTCATAATTGACAGTTATTTGGAATATTGATGTAAACGTACAGTTGTAATAATTGATATAGTTGTAAATTTACAGTTTACAATTGGTGAGTTGTGTACCAACTTCTTAAGTTATGTAAATTACATACATTTATAATTAAGTTAATGATGTTTTCTATAACTTAAAACCTTCTGATTTTAACTTGATTGATAGATTAATAATAATTGTAAGCTAAAGTAAATAAAGGGAATATACAGAAAATATTTGACTAAACGAATTACATATTAAATCTATAACTGATAGTTAAATATGATGTGATAATGTTTGTAAGAATAATGTGTCAAGTTTGCAATTGACCATTATGTATATTATATACGTAAACTTAAGGAGTTGTAATAATACAACATTGATTGAACAATTTTTGGATTGGAAACTGTTCAACCATTGGCAACTGACAATTTTGGAGTTTTTAAAGTTACTTAAATTTTTGGCTGTGAATGTAAATTTACCTTGCAAATTGAAATGAAATATGTTAAAATGCATGCAGTAATAACATTTCAAAAATTCCAGCAAGTTTTATTCCTTTTATTGTTTTTAGGCCCTATAAGCCTGACACTGTATGTATCTGATCCAGAGTTAGAAAAAAGTATATCGTTTATATCTAGTTCTGATATATTACAGCAGAGATCGAACGTTGCATATCATGCTGTTTTTAAAGACGGTGTAAGTATTTTGCTCTAACTTCTGATTAGTTTATATTGTATGTCAATTTCCTAGGACTTCTATCCAATAAATATGTTGAGGAATGTGGGACTGCGCCAAGTACAAACCCCTTACGTGTTCTTAGCGGACATAGACTTCTTACCAAACAAAAACCTTTACGAGATGCTCATAAAACACCTATTTTCCATGGCATTTATGGAAAATAAGGTAGATTTTTCGCTCAATCGATTTTCTGTACACTAAAATGTAAACTTTTAAGGCATTGGTTGTTCCGGCTTTCGAAATACAATCATACGGTAATCTTATCCCGAGGAACAAAAAGCAGCTACTGAAGGGACTGAAGAATAAGTCCGTCGTTCCATTCCTATCCAGTATTTGGTCACTGGGCCACGCCCCTACAAATTACGAGAAATGGAAGACTGCAGACGAACCGTACAAGGTAAGAATATTTCATTATTCCAAGTGCAACGTCATCGCCATTTTTTTTGTAGGTTATGTGGGAGCCTGACTATGAACCGTACGTGGTCGTTCGGAGGGACGTGGTGGAATATGACGAGAGATTCCTCGGGTTCGGTTGGAACAAAGTTTCGCACATCATGGAACTGGAAGCACAGAATTACGAATTCGTTGTTCTGCCTGATGTTTTTATCGTTCACAAGCCTCACGCGCCCAGTTACGACATAGGAAGGTTCAGGTCTTCGCCTTCCTACAGACTGTGAGTACTTTTTTTAAATATCGATTAATTTGTTTTTTATTTGCCTTGGTTTTCCTTTTTGTCTATTTGTATAGTATGTCGATTGTCCCACAGGGTGTTTTTAAAGCGTAGTGTCGAACTGAAGAGGGAGATAAGAGTTTTTTATGAACAAGGTCCTCAAAACATCTTAGGAGGTACAAAACAGATGCTCTTCTGATTTACAGCTATAAATTAAAATGAATACGATAAATTTGAAAAATTAATTATTTTAGTGAAAATGCCGCAATTTATGTAAGATAAAAAAAATTGTCAATAACTCCTGTGAATGAGAAAAAATTCACCCCATGAAATTATTACAGTTGTTAATCTAAAGATTTGTACCAAATTTTGATTAGACCTCGTGAGCCATTTTAACGTTGCAATAAAATGCTTTTGACAGTGCACCTGTACCACCCTGTAATTTTTTTAAGCCCTTTCAGCCTCATGTTTAACCACACTCTTAAAATGGCAATTTTCATCTCCCATTTCAGTTTAGCGTCATTTTATAAACACCCTGTTTATCTTAGAACTTTATTGATTTTTCTTCTTATACAGTTGCCTTCAAATGTTGAAGGAGGAGTTCATACAAAAGCTCAACAAAATGTATAATCGTGTGTTCGAGTATTCAAATTCCTCACTGAACTTTCCTAGTATCCCAAATAAGCGTAAGAAAAGGAATTTTCTTCCACCCGCTCAAACAACAGTCGAAACCAACACCGACTACCCTTCCAACACAGAATGATCAGTGCTACCAATTTTCATATAAATGTTCTCATCCATGACATATTGAAATTCAGTCGAGCAAATCAGCCATATTTATCATGTGTGATAGTTACCAGTAAGTTATATGTCAAAAGTTTTAAGAGGTTGTTTATACTATATCGTTTCAAATTTTTAAATGTATTAAAATATATAAGTGACATGTAGTGGTTTGTTTTATTGCACCCATTTATTTCCCTTTGGAACCCCTCTATCGCACGGATTTCTATGACTTTCTTTATCGCTCTCACGTAACGGCCGATGAACCATGGGGACTTTCTGACCCTGTATGTTGTTTTGTTGTACTCCTTATCGCGTCCTATTTGTTCTTCATTAGCTAAGGGGGAATGTTCTTTTTAACTTAAAATTATAGCGGAAATGTAAAATATATGCAAGTATACCTACCATGAAGAAAAGGCTGAGGGGCACTGGCATTAAGAATTTTGAAACTATTGAATTGGATACAGTTATTTTATAAAATTTAAAATTTCAGTCAATAAATCTAGAATAATCATTCATTTCATAAAAAAATATGTGTAGGAAATTTTATTTGAAATACAATTTTAAATACTGTGACACAATCAGAAGAAAAAAAATGTCGGGAAACAGAGGCCAACTTCCAAAAAAGCTAAAATCTATATTCCACAATTTTAATAAGATTAACCCATCAACCTTTATGTCACTGTAATCAAGAAAAAGCAATCTATTCAAATAATAATACACAGGGTGTTCTATATAAAAAATATACATTTTCGTTAACACGCTTTTTAAATATACCATATACAAAATTTAATATCATCTTATAATAATTCTGGCTGAGAGCTACAACTTCAATAAATCAAAATTAATTTTCGCGAATATTCTGTTTTTTTTATAGATAATAATAAACAAGGGAACATTTTTTGAGATAAAACGTAGGTTTCCGAGATTACAACTTTTTATACAAATTATGTTCAATAATTTTTATTGTAGCATTTAGTGATATTTGACCAATTATTTCTTCATGAAACTGCATGTTTTTTGATTCTATCTATTATTAATTTATGTAACCAACAAGCACCAGGCTCAATTACAGGTTACAGTAATATTACATTACAAATAGTACAAAGTACCAATAGTTAGCTTTAACAAACCTAATTATGATTATATGATAAGTTAATACCTAGGAAAACAATTACCCAATGCAAATTAAAAACAAATATCTAGGACAGCATACACATAAAACATGTATCTTAGCGTGGTAATACTAATACTTTAACTAATAAAAAATAACGTATTACCTAACAACTAAAAAAAACATGGAAGTATATAAAAAACTTCTAATTCACAATTATGTTTGAAATTGGTTCTCTAAAAGTAAGCTCTTCATTAACTTATTAAAAGAAGTTCAGTAATTGTTAAAAATATTAATATTACTCGGTTGATTAATAAAATTATACAGGGTGATTCAGAACTTATCAAAAAAAAATTAGGATGTACTCTTACAAATATAATTTTGTAAAGAAGAAAATCAAAAAGGGCAGTTCGAAAATGATTTAAAAATACACTTCTGCACGGCACTGGAAACTGGTCCACTGTAAAACCTGACCTCGCACATGCGACCGGCATGGCGGTAAAGTGTGATAAAAACGGACAAAAACTTGAAAGAATTTCGCAAGGAAAGAAATAAATAGAATCTATTTTACATCAGCAAATTCAACTGCTTTTGCCATTATTGTTATGATTATTATTGCTATACACGCAAGCCATTTTTGCCAAAATCTACTAAAAAATTATTGTAAACACTATCGTAACAATGATTGTAAAATCGGATTTCAGTATTCCGAGTCGCTGAGGCCACGTGGCTCTCCACGCGTGTTATGAATGACGCTAGAGACTACAGTTCTACAACTTCAATAATTTTCTTCTCGGAAACTATATGGATTTTATCAAAATAATTTTATGATATTGACCCCATTTCTATTGCCGCATCTATTCGCAAATTTTTTTGAATAAATTGTGAATGACCCTGTATATTCTATAAAGAAGAACTTGAATAATAATCCTAAAATTTTTCTCTTCGCATTTTATCCCAAACATATCTGTTAATAATTTATTTAAATTTACTTACAATGCAACGGTGGGAAAATGACAAAAGAAATTGAATTAGAAGATATAGGAAGGGATTTACGATTCAATTAGAGAAAAATATCTGTCGGGTTCTCTCTGAGCGATATTCTTGCACCCCAGAGTATCCAGATTAGATGTGATCTTTGTTTGCACCTCCATTATTTATAAACATTATCGCACAAATATAATAAAAAAAAAACAAATTTTACCTAGGCTGTCTTTTCAGGTGAATAATAATTCATATGCCATTACTCCAAAAACCACCTTGGTTTAAATATTTTTAGAATTGACCAAATTGTAAGAAAAGAAAAAAACATTTTTGATAACTTCGCCCAAGGAAACTTTTTAAGTATGACCTATTCACTTCCGGACAGTGTATAACATTTACCACTGAGGGCCAACACTTCAGTCAAAAATTTTTTAAATTCCAGGACCGTAATGGGAAACTTCCTATTATTTTGTGGTTCTTTCGAAAGGTTCACCCTTTATGTATTTTCTTCTTTTATATATAATATTGAAACTGTGTACTACATAAATCTATAACTTTCGATTTTTAAATTACCTAACAATGAAATTCTGATAACACACTTAACTATTAAATTAATAAGAACACAAAAGAGAGCAAAGCATCACGATTTTACTGTTCCTTTAAAATATTGCCGGGCCTTAAAAATATAGTACAATAGTAGCATTATTATTGTATACCACACGCATTCCCTACTGGCCTGATCTCCTCTAATACGCCTCTGCCCCGTCTCCTACCATGGTGATTGTACCCGTACCACTGCCGCTATCAAGACCAAGAGTCTCGTTAATTTGCCGCAGCTGCATTAATAAGCGGCAGAAACCGAAGAGATTTGGTACGCTTAATCGGCGTCCAGGGCAATTTGCTTGTGCCCAAAATTTATCAGCGATGGATAGATATTAGGGTCAAAGTTGTTTGATGGAATAACAACTTTAATAACCATCAATTTATAAATCCAGTTTAAAGAAGAATCGAAGGATCGTCATACGTGTTGTTAGTATATTAATTAGTATAACAAATATGCTAAGGATGAAGTATAATAACTGTATAAGGAGGAATTGGAAGAGATTACCGGACTTGTGTATAAATAGAAGTTTTAGCTCGGAAACCAGTTTGCCGAAACAGGCCGATGTTGTTGTTGTAGGTAAGTTTTAATTATTTGAACAATATGGTGTCTGGATGTTCTTTATTTGCATATATTTAAATTAAAAACGGGTCTACAAGACCTGAATGTTAAAACTATACTTTGTGTTCCTGTTGAACTGAAATTGTTCTCCTTTGTTTCGTGGTACAAAAATTAACAGTTTTTATAATTTGAATTTTTAACTTTAAACCAAACCTATCAATAAAGTAAAAACTGTGGGACATTTTTTTATATAAAATAATATTTGAATGGACTTGTATATCTATCTGATATATTTATTATATCTCTATAGTTTCATTGAGCTAGAGATACACGAAACACAAACAAAACTATAATTTGGTAAATAGCGCACACTGTTTTTGAACAAAATCTACACTTAACTATCAATAACACTTACTGATTATTTTGAATTCATTGTCCTTCGCAAGAAAGTGTAATATTGTTAGGTAGAAGAAAATATTAGATGGAAATATTTACATATTCCAAAACGGAATGGAGTGTTTATGTTCAAAATTTTATAATTAGAGGTCAGAATACAGGTTATCAAAAAATATTCCAATTGCAAAGTTTCTGCATGTGATACAAAATTTCGTAGACTATTTTCGATATTAAGGCCAAGGTTTATTTATTTTTTAGGTAGTTGCACCATGAAATAGTAAAATAGAAAATTGTACATAAATTATTTAGTTACAATTTCCACAAATATTTGTTACTTCACATGGATGTGGCTGAAGATAGATACGGATTCAGATTCGGGATACGAATTTTTACAGCAGACCAGTTCATTATTGAAAATGACCTAATATTTTTAATATTATTTTGCTTTAAGTCTTCACAAGTTAAATTATTGTATGTTATAAAAAATAAAACAAAGTAAATTTTTAAAAATTATTACTTTTTTAACCTATCACGTTATTTCACAAAAAAATCTAAGATTCTACAAATGTTACAGATTCAAATTAAGATTGTGATCCCACAAATGCGGCTATTACAGATTGAAATTTATATTGAGATTTACTTACGTCCTAAGGGAATCTTACATATCGTGGAAACGGAGAAATTCAGAAGCTACGAGGGTCAAACGATTTTTTTACTCTTCAAGGTTGAAAAAAACGTGGATCCCACAAATTTAGTTGTTACAGATTGAAATTTATACTGAGATTTACTTATGTCCTAAGGAATCACAGATATCGAAGAGACGGAAAAAGCTGCATTTGTGGGATCTACAGTTTTTCAACCCTGAAGAGAAAAAAAATCGTTTTACCCTCGTAGCCTCTGAATTTCTCTGTTTCCACGATATGTAATATTCCTTAGGACAGCCGCATTTGTGGGATCTACGGTTTTTTCAACCCTAAAGAGAAAAAAAATCGTTTGACCATCGTAGCCTCTGAATTTTTCCATTTCCACGATATTTAAGATTCTTTAGGATATAAGTAAATCTCAATATAAATTTCAATCTGTAACAGCCCCATTTGTGGGATCTACGGTTTTTCAACCCTGAAGAGAAAAAAAATCGTTTGACCCTCGTAGCCTTTGAATTTTTCCATTTCCACGATATTTAAGATTCTTTAGGATATAAGTAAATTTCAGTGTAAATTTCAATCTGTAAAAGCCCCATCTGTGGGATCTACGATTTTTTCAACCCTAAAGAGAAAAAAAATCGCTTGACCCTCGTAGCCTCTCAATTTTTCCGTTTCCACGATATGTAAGATTCCTTAGGATATAAGTAAATCTCAGTATAAATTTCAATCTGTAACAAACGCATTTGTGGGATTTCAATCTCAATTTGAATCTGTAACATTTGTAGAATCTTAGATTTTTTTGTGAAATAACGTGATAGGTTAAAAAAGTAATAATTTTTAAAAATTTACTTTGTTTTATTTTTTATAACATACAATAATTTAACTTGTGAAGACTTAAAGCAAAATAATATTAAAAATATTAGATCATTTTCAATAATGAACTGGTCCGCTGTAAAAATTTGTTTCCCGAATCTGAATCCGTGTCTGTCTTCAGCCACATTTCACATGGTTGCTTTATACAGATTCGCTTCACAAACACAAATAACGTAATCTCGTTTCCCATTGTTGGTATACGACTGAGTTTATCTAAAAAATTTGAAAACAATAGAATGTGTTCAAGTTTATTAACATTTCCGATAAAGTTTATGATTGTTGTTGTTGTATAATTATAAAATTGGTGCATTATTTGTATTTGTGGATTTTCGTATATGTTACAAAGTAGGCCTTTTATAAACATGTATGTAAATAATATATTTCTACGACTAAAGTTTAAGGTAATTAACATAATCCTTGGTAAACAATGTCGACCACTTATATTTCAGTAAAATATACGGAGTGATTCACAGTAGTGCAAATAAAAGTCATCAAAAATGTTGCAAGTGTTGCAAGTCCATTGTATAATAATTGTTTGGAAAATGTAAGATGTTGAAGTTAAAAAACATAAAATTTTTATATCACATTCTTGGTCTAAAAGACAAAGTTAAGAAAATGTAATAAAAAAAATTGTTGATGCTCTTTAATAGTCCCTGATGTATTATAAACTATATTAAACTTTATACTATTTTTGTAGTTTTTAATAAATTGTATATGTACACATTTGGAGTCCTCGTATTCAAAAACAGAGTGCTTAACGTAATAAATAAAAACGTAATCCTTAACTAAAATACATATTTAGAGAATTAGAGATAAGTCAGAATCTAGTCTAAAATTCAAATGATTAATATAATGATATTACTATATGATTAAAAAATAAATAAGAACTATTCGTTCATACCTGAAGTATAGCCAAAAATAATTTTATTTTTAAATTCAGCATCTTATAGCTTCTAAACATCTAAACCTTTTAATAACTTGCATGTGTTTATAAGGCAAACTTGCAACATTTTTATGGTCCATGTTCCTTTGATTTTTTTTTACATTTAGTGTAATCACCCTGTTTAAGCTTTCCGTATGATTAATAAACAAATAAATAACATTGTCTTCTAAAATATAGAATCAGGTTTAATTTTTGTAAGGACATTTTGAATTAAACATTAGAAGTATAACCTGGTACTTTATCTCTTATGTACATTTATTAGAAAGTACAAATTGATACTATTAGAAAAAATTAATTAATTTATTTCGTTTGGCCCATAGATATTTAAACCAGCGGCACTTCTGTGGTTTCGCCTTTAGGCGGTATGCAACCCGCAATTCATGGTATATGTACATTTGTTAGAAAAGTACAAATACATACTGTTACAAAAAAATCACTGTATGCAACACCATTATTCAAAGTTTATTTACATTTGTTAGAAGAGTACAAGTACAACCTACAAAAAGTCAATCCATTTGTTTATAGAATATGGAAACCCATATAAATTTCGAAACATTTACCTATTGTTATAAATTGAGAAATCAATTTTCACTTTTACAGTCTCAAGAGATATTAGGTGTTTTGTCATAGTAGGTAATTGATTTAATTAACTAAGGACCACTATTATTTTAATATTGCATGCTCTTTCATTGTTCAAATTGTTCAGATGTATTATTTTCTGACTATTACTATTTGCATACTATTTCATTTTTTTTAAGTGAATTCTATAAATAGGTAGGTATGTATTTGCAATACACATCAGATAAAATGTATGGAAGGATGTGTAATCATAATTTGAAGCTAAATGTAGATTGGTATCTTTTAATAGAAAGCATTAATTTCAAAATTTTTAATTACATAATAATTAGTAATGGTATACTTAATCTGTCCATTGAGGTTAAAGGTCTTCGAGTTATTTTTAACGCTAAACATATTTTTACTAATATAAATCCAATTGTCGCATCCGCTAATAAAATGTTGAGCTTTTTAATAAGAATTTAGAAGGGTTTTACGAATATCAGTATACGAGGTCTATTGAGAAAATAACCGAACTTTATTTTTTAATCTTTATTATTAATTTTATACATTATTTGTCCTTGTCTCCTTCAATGTACTCCCCTCCCCTATTCACACACACTGGACAGCTCCATTTGAAATGGCCAATTTGCTTTGATGTCACAATAATATGAAAACGGCTTTCTTTCAGCTGGTTTGAATTTCAGGAATAAGAAAAAGTCGCCAGAAGCCAGGTCTGGTGAGTAAGGAGGGTGAAGAAGGACAGTAATCTGATTTTTGACACAAAACTGATGAATTAACAATGCTGAGTGCGGGTGCATTAACATGTTCCAAGAAAAATGAGCTGTCTTGAAACAACTCTATTTGCGAATTTTTTTACTTAGTAAAACGCCCTGCTACGGTTCACTGTTTCACATTATGGCAAGAATTTAAAATGCCATTAGTCGAAAAAACCAGTGAGCATCAGTTTGACATATTGGATCGACATTGACGTGCTTTCTTGGAATGTGGAGATTCTTTGCCAATCCATCGTGATGATTGAACTTTTGTTTCAGTATTGTAGCCGTAAACCCAGTCTTTGTAATAATAAAACTTTATTTAAGGAAGTCCTATATTTTTCTATATAAAATTTATGAAATTTAAAAAATCTCAGTCAATGAATCAAATTTCAATTTTTCATTATTATCTAGTGATTTCCCAAACACCAAAGACCATGTAGTTCTTCTCACCATACAAATACTAGTCATTTCTTAATAACTTTTTGTTTAAAGGGGCTGGTGCTATTGGATGCAGCACCTTCTACCACCTGTGCAAGAGGGGCATCAAGGCTATTCTGCTGGAAAAGCACAAGGTTACATGTGGAACGACATGGCACAGCGCCGCCATGGTGTGGAGTCTAAGGGGCAACGACGTGGACACGTTGCTCCTAAAGAGAACCCGAGAACTTTTGGCAACTTTAGAAGAAGAGACAGGAGTAGATTCAGGGTGGAACAACTGCGGGGGAATGTTCGTCGCCCGGACAGCTGTTAGTAGCAAAATAAGAGTTTTTGTGTGTTAAACAGGGTGAACCAAAAACTTTATCTTTATAGGAAGTTGCTAAATACCTACAATTTTTTAATGGTACAAGCTCATGTTTCAGAAAAGATTGTTCTCTGTGAACTATGGGCCTATCTAGCAAATTCTAAGTATATATTTGTGTAGATTTATCATTTTTGGGAAGTTTCCGAAGGGACATGAAAAAGTAGTTAAAATATCTCGGAGTCGGTTTTTGAGAAAAAATTGTTACACTATATTTTGATTCATTTGAGATATACAGGGCGTTTACATTTTTTGTTGTATTTTGACATAACTTTTTAAAAATTTATTAAAGGATTTACTTTAACCCTTTCGCTGCGCAATACGTCTGAAAGTAGCTACCGCGCCGTGCGCGAAAGTTTATCGCGTGCGAATATATACGTCTGGAGCAGTTAGACCACTTGTAGTTTTACATTATGTTATGTTAAATTACGATTTACGATAAATTTTACGATTTTATTTTGAATAAAATACAGTATATGTACTAAATAGAAACTGAAAGAAACATGAACAATCTTGGTATTATTACCAGTACCTCTTTCCATAAAAATATTTGTCACAATCGGTATAAGCTCGCCCGCAAAAATTCGCCTTACCAATTGCAATAACCAAGTCACTGATGCGCATGGTTGCGAATATATACGGTTTGAGCAGCCTGATCCAATTTAACTATTCATGCGAATTAATCCGTCTGGAGCAGTTTGAGCCCTATAAATTTTTAGCGAATATATACGTCTGGAGCAGTGAAAGGGTTAATAAACAAATAAATTTATATCCTTACGTAGAAAAACATATTTTAACAGGAACGAATGGAAGAGTATAAGCGATTTCACACTCTCGGACACTACTTTAACATAGAGAGCCACCTGCTGACACCCAACGAAGCTCAGAAAATCTGCACCATGCTTAACCCAAAGATTATCTATGGAGCCATTTGGGTACCTACGGACGGTTACACTGAACCTTCGAATTATTGCTCGGCCCTTATAAAAGGTGCTACCACAAATGGAGGTGTTGTAAGTATTTTTGTTATTCTAACTTCCAGTAAAATGTGTAAATTTTTAAAAAATGCTGTAACTTTTCTATTTACACCATTTTTGGCAAAAATTAATTAATTTGTTGACTATGTTACAAAGTCATCCAAGTTTTTTTTTTCTTTCTATCTACACTGAAGAAACGTAACAGTACTTTCTTCATTCAGTCAGTGAGTTTTTGTGATCGAAACCTATTAATTTGCATCTTTATGTTATTAACTATACATTTTCGGTTTACCTTTTATATTTTTTATTGTATTTCTCACAGACAAGTATCATGTTTGTGAGGGTTTTGTGTTTAATTATTTATTTGTGTTCATACTGATGCCTTGTTTGTTTAATGTTCTGAAAACGAGTAAACATTATTATATATTTGTTAACATCATCGGTGCTTAATAGCTAATTATTCACAGTTTCTTTAATAACAATTTGATTTAGCTCTACGAAAACACTCCCGTGGTCAACATCCTAACCGAAGCTACGATGAACAACGAGAAAAAGGTCATCGGCGTTCAAATCCACGGTGGTACTATCAAAACCAGCGTCGTGATCAATACTTGTGGTGCCTGGTCCCAGGACATCTCCCGAATGGTAGGCCTCAACATCCCTCTGACAGCCATGAAGCACGGCTACGTGCTCACAGCATCGGTACCTGGAGCTCGTGGTTCCCCCCAGGTCAGGGACCAGGACGGAAACTTTTATTTCCGATCACAGGGGGATGCCATTCTTCTAGGTTTGTATGAGCATAACCCCGAAATTATAAACGAGGTAAATCAATTGAATTTTCTCGGATTCCTCACGTTTTATGTTTGTTTAAATTTTAGATAGAAAAGGACTTCCATTTTGGTCTATACGAGCTGGATAAGGCTTTGTTCGAACCTTACATAAATAATGCTTATGAACTGTGCCCTTCGTTTGAAAAGGCGGGGATAAGGAAGGATATTTACGGTCCAGAAACTTTTACGCCTGACCACAATGCTGTTATGGGGGAAGATCCCAAATGTGTAGGTAAGTGCGACTCTTCATGTGAAAAAAAAACACAACGTTATTGTCAATTCATTTCTTTATTTTAAAGGCAAATCAAACAATATTCCTATTTGTCATAATTTGATAAACTTTTTCAGGTTTTTTTGTTATTTGTTTTCATTAGTTTAATACCTAAAAGTCTTGGTTAAATAATAGTAATAATGGATGAGTTATTCAAAGGGATTCCCTCCCATACAAGAAATGGTGTAATTATTGGCATTTTAGGTCTCTTCCAAGGCAACGGCTTCAACTCTTTGGGGCTGCAACTCAGTGGAGGCGCGGGCGAACAATTGGCCACCTGGGTGGTGCTTGGACGGCCTGAAATACCTATGGACAAGTACGACATCAGGAGATTCACTCAAGTGCACAGACAAGACCGCGCTTGGATCATCGAAACCAGCCACGAGGCTTACGCCAAAAGCTACAGTATTAAATACCCCTACGACCAGCCCCTCGCTGGACGAAACCACAGAATCGGTGCCTTCCATGAGGTCAGTAACACCAGGTATAATCTGGTTTACCACCTTTTCACATAACACAAAACTTGACCCGTATTTTTAAATTTTTTTGTGAAATCGAAAACCAACTAAAATCTCATACCACTGTTCTCCTTATATTTACTGTAAAGAGATTGGAAAAGATGAGGATAACAATGACCGCAATTTTCTATGACTAGGAGACTTAAGTGGATTATTTTAAAATAGATTAAACTCGTCGATCTAGGTATACACAGTACAGTGGTGGGAGTGGCCTGGGAGATCCCGCTTATGTTGCCGATGATGTTAGTACCATTGCGATCGCCTCTAGTCCTGTGGAGTGGGGTAGAGGGCGTGGCTTGGGGTATGTCCCAGGAATCGCTGTGCGCGACTCCACGTCTGCGTAGTAAGACAGTGGGTGTGGTCTCACCTTTGTCAACGGTATCGTCGGAGCCGTGGCTTTCAAGTCTGTGCAGTGGTTTATCATGCATTCATCGCAAAAGCCGCTTCTACAGATTCTACTCTTACGAAAGCCCTCTTTACGATCAATATTATTTAGGTGTTGTTCCAATGCCCCCCGTTTCGCCAGATTCTAAAATCCTGTCGTTCTCACAAGTACCTTGGTGTTTACGAAATTTATTTGTCCTTCATCTTAGACGATGGCTGATCCTTAAAGCCTGATGTCTTAAAACCGCTATAACTTGTCACATTTTTTTAACTGTTAATTCAAATACTTTTCTAAAGCACGGCGACAGGACGATAGTCATGATTGACAGTTTAACTAGAGCAATGTTTCAGGCACTGGTGGCTAGTGGAGCTGTCATGGAATCGGCGCTAAGTTGGGAGAGACCCGCGTACTTTATAAAAGACCGCACCGCCCCGGTCAGGGGGTACGACTGGGGCGGCAACTACGGCCACGTGATCAACGAAGACAAACGATACGAGAAGGAATTGGAAGGCGACTGCACCTTTGACTTCTCCAAACATCACCAGCTGGTAAAATGATATCAACAAGTAAAACAATTGACAAACATAACTAACGTTTCCAGATCAAAGAAGAAGCCTTGGCGACGAGGAACAACGTGGCCCTCTTCGACCTTTCGAGTTACACCAAGATGTACTTAGCTGGACCCGACGCTGAAGAAGCTGCCGATTGGCTATTCACTGCCGATGTTGGAAGGGAGCCTGGCAGTGTAGTGCACACCTGCTCCTTGAATACCAGAGGAGGGGTTGAGGCTGACGTCACGGTTATACCACTAGAAGAAGGAGCAGGAACTCTTGTAGGGCCCATCCTGAAGGTAAAACATGTTTATATTCTTTCTAATATTCACAACTTATTTTTGTGGTACTTGTAGGGCAAAGGTTACTACATAACAGCCGAGGCAAAGGCCGGATATCTGATAAAGTCACACTTTAGAAAGCAGCTATACAGGAAAAACTTCAAGTCACTGGTAACTGAAATGACGGGAAGAATAGGCATATTGTCAATCCAAGGGCCTAAAAGGTAGGATTGTATAGGGTTGTGTGTTCCCATAATTCTGCCCCCTCATCTTTTTTGTTTTTCTTTAAAGACATTTAAAATTTCAGAATTAGTTTCCAGAATATCTGTCATTTTATTTTTCATGTATATTGTAATATTTTCATGTGAATACACTAAAACTTTTAATTAAGTACACTTAAAGGCACTTTAAATAAAAAATACCTACCGCGGAAATAACAAATCCACTTAAATAGGTTCGTGTCAACGTTGTGCATCCCCCTCTAAACCGAAAAATAATTATTATAGTGTTCGTGAATACACGGCTTTTAACAGAATCGAACTGTGTTTATTAATGTAAATATGAACAGGGCCAGCGCCTGAGTATTTGGCACCTGAAGCAAATATTTGCTTGCCGCCCATTGGAACAACAAAATTTATTAATAAAAAGTTATAAAAAATAAAAAAAAAACATTTCAATAGACAAAAATAAATAAAAAAATATAAAAGAAATCATAAGAAACATAAAAATAGAACAGATATTCCTGTAAAACCAAAAATAAAACAATATTCAATAGAAACAAAAAAGAAACTAAATAATGTCAAAACGGGAACATAGATATCACATAACAACTTTTCTACATTTTTCATTAACAAAGTCTTCAATAATGCCAGCGTAAACCAAATTATTATTTGTTATATCTTTCTCGATAGCAAGATTGGCTAAGTCTAGTAACCGTTCCTGCGCCATGGTTGATCTTAAGTAATTTTTTATAATTTCTAATTTGGAAAAAGAACGTTCTCCAGTGGCCACAGACACAGGAATGGTTAACAAAATCTTTAAGATACTACGATGTTAGGGAAATTTTTGCTCAACTCGTTGATTTCTAAATAATTAATAAAAGCACATAGCCTGCATTCGGGGTCAAAAAATGTTTTTTTAGGATTTTTGTGCAATTTTCAATTTCTGAAATTTATAAAAATTTAATAATCATGTCTTAAAATGCCGCCCTTAAAAAAAGTGCCGGCCCTGAATATGAATAGGTATGTTCACAAAATATGTAGCAACACGGTAGTATTGATAATAAAGAGTCACGTTAAATATTAAAGTTAAGATAATTCGTAGCAGAAAAAACACCAAATTCTTAGAGTTCAGACGAGGTTTCAATAGTCTGTCATTTAATAGTAATTTAGTTAATAATTTTTAATGGTATTTTTATGAAAAATAGTATGAGGTGAGAATTTAGAAGATATAGAATAATGTTGTAATATAAATTTTCGGATATCACTTACAGTTTTTGAAAATTTGTATATTAATTGGCCTATATCATTAATTACCTCACCTAGAGCCCCTTCCACTTTACAATTCCTGATTACCAAGATACCAGCTACCAAAATTGGTCGCAAGACCGAAATCAGGAGCTATTTTCGAAGCACTCTCACATATTTAAAGTTGCAACATTACTTTTTATTGCGTTAGATCTTTCAATCAATGCTTGGATGGTCTCAAATGGTTCATTCTTTCAAAAGTTATGAGCAATTATTGTTGCAATCCACCTATACGAAAGATTTATAAACGCGTCCACTAGTTATTACAATTTATTTTGGATGGTGCTACACCTTCCCCTTAAAAAATCAAATTACTCCAGGATTCCTTTTTTATTTCACCACATTTTCCATTTATTTCAGCGGAGAACTCCTCCAGTCTATCACGGAATTCCCCATAACGGACGAGAAGATCCCTTACGGCATGTCCAAGCTAATCAAAATAAACGGCCACACCTGCAGGGTGATGAGGGTTAGCTACATTGGAGAACTCGGTTTCGAAGTACACATACCGTTCCCATCGTGTGTGCCGGTCTACAATAAAGTGATTGACGCTGGACGAGGCTTCGAGCTGAAAAACGCCGGATTCAGAGCGTACGATTCCCTAGCCTTGGAAAAAGGACATCACCTCATCAACTACGACCTGAGGATTGATGATAACCCGGTGGAAGCAGGTCTAACCAGGTTATGCAGGAAGGATGGACAGTACCTGGGAAAACAAGTGGTGGAAAGAGCCAAGCAAGAAGGCGTGAAGAAACATAGAGTATTCTTCACCCTTCAAGATCGCGTGCCTTTGTACGGTTACGAGACCATTTGGAGAGACGACGAGACAGTTGGATTCCTCAGAAGGGGAGATTATGGATTCAGCTTGGACTGTAGCATAGGAACTGGGTAAGAACCGCACATCTCTATGAATATAGTTCAATATTCTAGTCTTTTTCTGGTTTAGGTACGTCGAGCATCCAAATAACAAAGTCGTTGACAGCGAATTCCTAAAGAGCGGAACGTACCATATAGAAGTAAAAAATAAAAAGTATCCTGCTACCCTGTTTCTGAACAGTCCCTTCGATCCAAACGGGCAAAGGCTACTGGGACTCTACGAGCACCAATTCGAAGAGCAAAGTCACTTCGAAGACTGAATTGTGATATAAAATATAAAGTGTAAATAATTTCCACGTGTCATTCTGATTACTATTGTAAATATATAAACTATAAAGTAATGAGTGGTTAATAATTTGCCCTATTCCTTAACAAAACGATAAAACACGCATGATGAAATGTATACATTAAAATAATATATAAAAATTCATCCTATTTAAAATGAAAAGGTCATATGAACTTACGTAGTAAACGTTTTAGTTTTTAACATGTAACAAAAGCTGTGACGCTTGATACTTTATTTGTTAGTTCTCGGGATGGATGAGCTAACTCAGACAGTATAATATTTCAGTCAAAAGTAATTATTGAAAAGTTAAGGGTTTTCAAGTAGGTTTAGCGTCGCCATAAAATCGTTTGGGAGACTGGTGCCTCTTGTCACTGGGAGTAATAAATTTGCAAAGCTTGGCCATCGCCGCCCTTCAGAGAAGGCCTCATGAAATTTAGCAATGATTTTGAACAAGTCGACTTAGACCGTCTGGTCCATGTGTTGGGCATCTTTTATCGACTAACTGGCATCGCTTTAGCCCATGGCGAAGGGAAAATCGATATTTCTAATAACGCGCGAAATACGTTCTAAAAGACGTAGGAATTCCAAGATATTTAAATAAATTGTTAGAATGTTGTAAGGAAAATAAGAACAGATCAAATAGCTGGTTTTTAGGCGGATTTTCCAAATAGATTAAACGAAGTTGACTAATCCGCTCCATGTTGCTATATGGAGTCACGAAAGGAACGTGTAGGGTTACTTGTAAGTTCAGTTTAGTCACAAAATTATTCATACAATTGTAACCGAAACTTCTGAACCCAATAAATTGGCGTGTCGAAGCGAGGTATCGAATTCAGGCGAAATTTCCGAAAAATACAGTTTTTCCTTGGGTTCCACACTGGTCAGTCTACATAATTTAAAGTATCGAGTTAATTCTATAATGGAGTCTTTCCAAATTTTTGTTATGAATCCGTGCCCTGAATCTCGGTACGCTGTCGCGTGTAAATGTATCAACAATGTTTGTTCGAGTCCGTTGTGTTATCGTTATTTAGTTTGTCTTGTTTTTTATTGTTATTAAACACCCTTCCTGAACAGTTTTGGTGTTTTCTTGTTCTTCCAATTTAAGTGTGACCCTATACAACCAGCCACTGGTTTACATTCTACGTAAGCAATGGATGGTAAGTGCATGAAATTCATTCTCTGAATGTACAACATTTCACGTATTAATTGAAATGTAGATGATAATTAAAACACTCCCTTTCGAGAAATTAATGGTAAACTCTTTTGCAAGTTAACATCGTTATGATACTGATCATAACGGTAGATAGCTAAATAAAGAAATAACCCCTCCAGTTACAATTACCTATTGCGAGAAACAACTATACTCTCCAAACTAATACCCCAACCAGCACTGAATTATATCCGCAAACAAATAGGATGATTTGACAGCAGAACCAACAGACATATACCAGTCTCGAACTCATTACTTCTCATCGTGGTGGACATTTAATGTGGTTAAAAGTTATTTAGATATATTAAAACTATAATAGAAATGGTGCAGAGTTAAGATCCTTACTTACTTTTTTTAAGCGCATTTGCAAATTTGTGAACTAAAACTATTACAAAACAAGGGAATTATATGGAAAACTAGGACACACAGTTTCATTCGTACTGATGTAATGATCTGATATACAATACTTTACAAATAAAGTGTGGATTCAATAACAATGTCTCATTGTTTAAAACACCAAGATATTTATTTAATGTTCTTTACATTTGATATACAACCAATAAATGTATTCTCATTCCAGCTATAGCATCCCATATTCAATTTTAAGTAAATCCGCTAGCTTTTCAGCGATCATGTAGCAAACAGCATTAGGATGTGAAGACTTAGACAGAGGTATAACACTCGCGTCAGCCACTCTTAACTTGCCGATACCATAAACCCTTAGCTGCGCATCTACAACATCCCTTTGGCTAGGATCTGGTCCCATCCTACAAGTGCCTACGGGGTGGTTGCTATGACCACTCATATAACTTAAAGCACAATACCAGTAGTCCTTTGATTTGAACTTGAATTTGTCAGAGCATACTTTTATTGGTTTAGTCTCCAATTTGGCGTTTATCTTTCTAAACGCCTCAGTGTCTATCAATCTCTGCACTAATTGAACCGCCTGATAAGCCGTTTCTAAGTCTTTACCTTCGGGATCGGAAAGACATTTTGGGTCTATCAGTGGGTAGTCAAAGGGCGAGGCGCTTTTCAATCTGAGGGTTCCAGTCGACTTCAAATGTAAAAGGGTCGGGTACATGCTGAAAGAACTTGAGCTGTCAACACCTTCGATCGCTTCAGAGACGCTTTCTTTCCAACGCTGCAACTTATTTAAGGTGAAAGTCGTTGCGTTAGAAAAGTAGAAACTTATTTCTAGGTCTTGGTAGTTTGGAATCATCTCCACGTAAGTTTGGTAATATCCAAGGACTTGTCGGTTTAAGGGTTGGCTCAGAAGTCCAACGCCAGCCAAGTAGTCTTTAATTTGTTCCCTTAAAGTCTGAACTGGCTCGCTGAGGTTACTTGAGAAGGTTAATCCGTATATTTGAACGTGGTCGGATAAGGCGCTACCTACCTCCAAATTTTGGACTAAAGGAATACCTGAAATTTTAAAGTAAAATGTTAAAACTTTCTTTCTTACTTTTTATCCAGGTATTAACCTAATTCAAACCATACAGAAAAAACGTTACTGTCATTGTAATGCTTTCCACGTGTTTAAATCACGTGTCATGAGAGTAAACAAAATGGACGATTTATTAGCAGAGATTAAACATGTCCGGTGTTGTGTGATTAAACAAATTTGTATAATTTTTATTTCGTACCAACTCATTTCACATACCAAATTCCTTGAGGTGTTCACCTGGAACAATTCCAGAAACCATCAGCAGTTGTGGCGAGCTGATTGCGCCTAGGGACACTATAACTTCCTTGGAAGCGATGGCTGTATACACCCTTCCCTTATAACTGAAGGTTACCCCCTCCGCCACCTTTAACTCATTAATTACTATTTTCATGACGCTCTTAGTAAGTACCACCAGGTTGGATCTATCCAACACGGGTTTTAAGAAAGCAGTGCCACTGTCTTGCCTCTTCCCGTGCTTCACGTTGACCTGATTAGGGCTCACGCCCGTGGCATTGAGTCCGTTCCACTCGATTTGCTGGTACCCTAGCTCTTCGTTGGCCTTGAAGAATACCTTGCACTGTTCAGCCCTCGGCATGGGAAAGTTAACATGAAGAGGCCCACCAACTCCGTGGAAAGCCATGTCGACCACTGCGTCGGGGTCGTTTTTGCGGAAGTCTTCCGATTTTTTGAAATACGGAAGCACGTCTTCGTAGCACCACCCGGGGTTGCCTTGGGCGCACCAAATGTCGTAGTCGATTTTGCTGCCTCGGGCGTACGCCAGGCCGTTGAGGAGAGAGGTTCTACCTACGCCCCTGCCCCTGGGAAAGGGGCAACGCTCCTCTTCCATTCCTAAAAATAACCGGATAGCGTTTCCAAACTTTTTTCTATATTTAGAGCAGAGTCACTGCATCAAACACTTATGGCTGTCTTTCTTTACAACACATTAAAGATACATACTAGGGCCTTCTATTTTTTAAGCCCTTTTGTAAATAGGTGTAAATTGCAAAAATGTATCTGTTTTTCTCTTCTTTTTAATTTGAATAATAAATAGAATAGAAGAGAATAATCAGTATATAATAAGCTATATAAATTTGAGAAGTACAATTCTGATACTTTATGATAAATAAAATACATTGAATTGTATTAGCCTGTGATATACATATACAATAATATAAAATTATGTTTAAAAACGTTCATACATCTCGTCGGTTGATAGATCATTCTAAATGGTTATACATACTAGCTATAACGGTGACTGTCCTTACCGATCAAATATGACTTCACCAGTGTGTTATATATGTATACTCGTACAATTGTACCCCGATACAGCCAACTCTGTCTCCCCTACTTTATTGATAAAGAATTGTTATTAATTTCAAAAGTAAAATATCAAGGTTTACAGAACATAAACAACGGAAAATTACTACCTAAGCAGGAATTCTTTTGCGGCACAGAGTAGTACCCCCAATTATAGTCGCTTGCCATGACGACATCGTAGCTTATTCTCGGGATGTCAGTTACTTCATTACCGAATTCGCCAGCTTCCAAAACTAGGATATTCCACTGTTTTATTTCCGACAAGCGCCTGGCTATCACAGACCCTGTCGATCCGGCCCCTGCTATTATAAAATCAAACGTACCAAAATCTGAAAAGGGGCGGAAAGTTGTAAATAATGAAAAGAAAATGTTTAATCAAAAACTTCAATACTAGCAAGATGTTAAGAAATTCGTAAGTGTTCGCAAAGTTAAAAATATATATGGTTCAATTAAAAAAATTAAGAAAGGATATTTCAATAAATTTCAGTTCAGTCAGGTAGTCAAAAAGAAAATGTCTTAGAAAGCAATTTTTGAAAAGATTTGGACTAAAATATCTTGTAGGCGGTTTAATGTAAAGTGGTGAAACTTTTGCTAATTATTGATCTACTTAAATGGAAAAATACATTAAATTCCAGTATAATTAGTTAACCGCTGTCAGGATCCCTAAGATCAATATCACTGGGTTTTTTAGAAATTTCACTTATAACTCCTAGTTACGTTTCAAATAATTGTAATTCTACTAGTGTTGGGTTTCTAAGGTGCTTAGTTATATTGACTCCCAATATCTACATCATTAACAGATCATCATAATCCAAAAACACTACTGTGGTTTGTTAGACTTTAAAAGTTCTACTTGCCCAGAGGTGGATCGTTATATTCTGGAATGTACATGTGGGCATTGCTTGGTAATTCATAACTTCTGGCTTTCTCTTTCTCCTCCAGAATAACTTTCTCGTAATGATCTATAATTTCCTCTGTAACGCTAGAGCAGCAGATTATAAAGTTGACAAAAGACAACACGATCAGAAAATGTTTCGACATTGTAAGCTGCCTATGCGCTGGAATATGCAAAACTCTATTAAATAATATTTCCTGGGTTATCTTGTGAAAAACGCGAATGAGTTAATGTTGATAAAATTGTGTTATTCACGTAGAATAAGTGGAATAGCTGTCCATTGCCATTAGGTATATCTACAGGGTTGGGTCAAAAACTTATGGTATAGAATATCAAAAATGAAGATAAGAGATAATGGAAACATTTATAAATAATGGTTCCTTTAAATAATTCAAGAATTTTTTAGATAACTTTTATAGTAATTGCCTATTTACATTTAGTGCTGTCAAGCATTTCATTGTATTTATAGTGGCATTCATTATCTGGCTAAATATATTGGGTTTTGTACGGTATATCTCACATCACGATGACAATTGATTGATGTATTGTTGTAGATGAGTTGAATCTATAGGAAAATATAATTTAAATCATCAGCAAATAACAAATTCTCACTCACAACTGATGACTTTTGGAAGATCGTTAATGAAATATTGAAATAATATGTGGCCCAAATTAGAAAAGAAAGTGACCAAGTGAAACTTTGATATCAGATCATAAATTGTTTGTCACTTAAGTAAGAAGTGTAACTAATGCATCTGAAAGGCCAAATCTTTCTTATTTCAGAAGGAGTATGTTACGTATCAAATAATTTTTGAAAATATATACAATTAATATCGACCTGTTCTCTATTATCCAAAACTCATAAACGTTGCTAAGAAAACAGCTAAATTATATACTGTTGACTCGGCTATATTGACAGCCTTAGGTATACTNTGCGCCAGGCACAACAGAAATCGTCGAAAAAAACGGAACTTGCTAGATAGGAAATTACATTATGTGAAAACTCTTATTAGTTTATTCTCTTTGGCACTGTGGTGCGAGGATACTATGCCAGATGTGGTGCTACATGCTGTGCGTCGTGCCTACTCAGAAATATAAACATAGGTCATAATATGTAATTCCCAAGGCCATTAACCGTCAAATTTATCGTAACAAGTATTCCGCGTTCAGTTGTCTTATCTTAAATCACCAATTTACTTTTGATCGTAACTCGATAATGATGCTGATACTTTGTGTTCAAAATGATCTTGATCCAAGATTTGAATTAGTTAACTGATGAACAACAAGCCAATAGTTTAGGCACATTTAATTGACAAATGTTGATGTCTTTTCATAACATTCTATATTTGCCTTTCCTGCTATTAATAAAAGAGAAAAATGAAAGAAAGGATAGCGTTTCCAAACTTTTTTCTATATTTAGAGCAGAGTCATTGCATCAAACACTTATGGCTGTCTTTCTTTACAACACATTAAAGATACATACTAGGGGCTTCTATTTTTTAAGCCCTTTTGTAAATAGATGTAAATTGCAAAAATGTATCTGTTTTTCTCTTCTTTTTAATTTGAATAATAAATAGAATAGAAGAGAATAANAAAAATTCATTGATTTTTAAAATGTCAGCACTTTTAATAAGCGAAACAGAAATTTTAGTTATTCAATTGCCTTTCTAATACCTGTATGGTATGAATGATTTTAGTTTAGAGTCCCTTTGAGACCTGCGAGTGTATATCCCAATCCTCACGATTCCTTTGGGTCACAAATTGGTTACAATTTAAATTGGATACATAAACATTCAAGTGGGGCAGACCAAACGCAGGTAATTATTAATAATAACTGAATGAATTGATGTTTTAGTAATGCAGCTGCTCCAAATATGAAATGAATATCAATATAAAATACTTGCAACATATTCAATCGGAATATATCAGCTTAAGCCTACAGATTACTGTTTCATAAATCGTAGGATATTGGCGACAATAAAGATGATAACGATATTGACTTTAAACCTTTTTAACTGAATCGTGACATCTTTTAAAAATGAATAGAACATAATTCAGTACTAAGTTTGTCTTTTTGTCCAAATCTTTACAAATTCAGTTGTAATCTAATGATTTTAAGTATATTTTTGTATAAATGTACTGTTATCACAATAAAATAGGTAAATATATGTCTAGACGTAGGTCTTAAGAATAGTACTCCACTAAAACTTTCACTAAGGTATATTTGACGTTTATTGTCAAATTCCAAATTCATGTATAATCTATTCTACAATTTAGCGAAGTTTTAGGGCAAACCGTCTCTACCATCGAGGTTCAGAAAGTTCCAGCAAGACCCCAAGGAGACTCAGTTGATCGAAAACGAAGACGAACCTCCGAAGAAAGATCCCAGGTTCCTTCTCTCACAACTTGACATGGCGGACGACACCAACCCCGAGGTTGCGGAGGAAAAGAAAGAAACCATTTTGCAATGGTAAACCCTTAAATCTATGCTTCCGTTTTCCAATTTCTGATCGACAAACCATTAAAATCTACAATTTTTTAAATTGTCAGGTTTGACCGATCCGTGGAAAAGGAGCTTAGAATAAGGAAAGAGGCGACTGGGGGCGGACGAGGTCTCCAGAATGCTATACCAGGCGCGCCGAAGGACCTGGACATCTCCAAGACCTTGATGGACCAGATTTCTGAGGCTAGCGCTAGTCACATCGAGATCGCCTCCCAAATGCGCATGCAGCCGGACACCGAGCTCACGGAGGCGGTGGACAAGCTGGCTAAGGCAGAAGCTATGTGCGCCTTCGCGGGAGCTGTGAAGGCGGCAGAAGCCGCTGCTGAAGGTAAGTCGTTGGTCTCCTACAGATGCAATAGGCCAAAATGGAAATTGTGTCTTAATTTTGACATGGTCTGCTTCATAATTCACTTGGTTTACCTATCTATAAAATCAAGGGCGCTTTTTACCAAAAAAATTTCTTGGTGCAGGTTTTTTTACCGATACTGTACAGTCCCAATTTCCTCATTGCCATTTGTAAAAGAAAATTCAAACATTTTTCTAAAAAATCTTATTAAATTAAGTCTTCAATAGCAAAAATCTAGGTAAGTATGCAAAAGATGTCTAACCCTATACACAAGACTCTTAACTGTTGTTATTGTGACTCTATGAGCTGCATGCACCAACTAGAATTGAATTCTACTGGCAATATTTATTAAAATTGTCTAAAATAAAAATAAAAAATTATGCTAATTATTACCTGCCATACTGCAATCATCAATTATTGTAATCTTTCAAAGAAATATCTTATATTCTATTTGTTCTAACATCACCTTTGACAGATACCAACAAGTAAAAATAGTATAATTCAAGAATAAGACGGGAGTGCTTCGACCCCAACAATTATTCCTCACTTTCTTATTAATAGTGACATATCAAAGCTAGTCTACAATTTGACGCAACATTTGGGGGGTTTGAAATTTACATATGAAAATAGTAATAGGGCGCAAAATTCATTGAAATCCTAATGAAATGGTCTGCTACTGCTTTACAAATAAAGTGTGGGTTCAATGAAAATGTTTTAGAAATATCCAAGGACTTGATTGAATATTTTTATATTGGATTTTACAATAAGAAAATGTATTCTCATGAAAATTATAGCACTCCATATTCAAATTTAAGCAGATCCGCTAGCTTTTCTGCGATCATGTAGCAGACAGCATTGAGATGCGACGACGTAGATAGTGGTATAACGCTTGCGTCAGCCACTCTCAACTTGCCGACACCATAAACCCTTAGTTGAGCATCTACAACATCTCCTTGGCTAGGATTGGGTCCCATCCTACAGGTGCCTACGGGATGGTTGTTATGACTGCTTATATATCTTAAGGCGCAGTACCAGTAGTCTTTTGACTTGAACTTGTATTTGTCCGAACAGGTTTCTATAGGTTTGGTCTCTAATTTGGCGTTTATATTTCTGAACGCCTTGGTTTCTATTAGTCTCAGAGCGAATTGTACTGCCTGATAAGCCGTTTCTAGATCTTTACCGTCGGGATCGGAAAGGCATTTAGGGTCTATCAGTGGGTAGTCGAAGGGACAGGCGGTTTTCAATCTAAGGGTACCAGTCGATTTTAAGTGTAAAAGGGAGGGGTACATGGTGAAAGAGCTTGAGCTGTCAACACCATCGAATGTCTTAGAGACGCTTTCTTTCCAACGTTGCGCTTTCTTCAAGGAGTAAGACGTAGCGTTAGAAAAATAAAAACCTATCTCCAGGTCTTGGTAGTTTGGGATGATCTCAACATAAGTTTGGTAGTATCCGAGGGCTTGTTGGTTTAAGGTTTGGCTCAAAAGTCCAACACCAGCCATGTAATCTTTAATTTGTTCCCTTAAAGTCTGGACTGGCTCGCTGAGGTTGCTCGAGAAGGTCAATCCATTTATTTGGACGTGGTCGGATAGGGCGCTTCCTACCTCCAAATTTTGGACTACAGGAATACCTGAAATTTTAAAATATGTTATAAAAGATAATTCCTTTGGTACTTACTGATATTGAACTTTTTGAAATTTGTATAAGTTCATTTCATTCGCAATTGTATTTCAAACTAAACGGGTCTTTTCCAATGTAAGTAAAACGAATTACTTTAGTAATTTTTTTAACTTTAACATCACACAGTTTAATAAATTTCTAAAACTGTTCGTTTTACAAAAAATGTATAAAAATTTGTTATCGAAAACACAATTTTAAATTCGGAAAAAATCAGTTTCACATAATCATGTGAGCCATGAGTTGAAACAAAATGAATGAATTGCGGTACATGGTATTAGAAATAAGCATCTTGTACTTTATAACTAAAAAAAATACGTAACATTTTTTCATATTTGAATTTGCCTTCACCGCGTTCAATTTCACATACCAAGTTCCTTGAGGTGTCCGGCTGGACCAATTCCAGAAAGCATCAACAGCTGCGGCGAGCTAATTGAACCCTGCGACACTATAACCTCCTTGGAAGCAAAGGCTTTGTACGCCCTTCCCTTATAACTGAAGATAACCCCTTCCGCCATCTTCAATTCATTGATTACTATTTTCATGACGAAGCTCTTAGTCAGCACCACCAGGTTGGATCTATCCAGCACTGGTTTCAAGAAAGCAGTACCACTGTCTTGCCTCTTCCCGTGCTTCACGTTGACCTGATAAGGACTGACGCCCGTGGCATTGAGTCCGTTGTACTCGATCTGATGGTGTCCTAGTTCTTCGTTGGCCTTGAAGAATACCTTGCACTGTTCAGCCCTCGGCAAAGGAAAATTAACATGAAGAGGCCCACCTACTCCATGGAAAGCCATGACGACCACCGCGTGTGGGTCGTTTTTTTGGAAGTTTTCCGATTTTTTGAAATACGGCAGCACGTCTTTGTAGCACCAACCGGGGTTGCCTTGAGCGCACCAAATGTCATAGTCGATTTTGTTACCGCGTGCGTACGTCAGGCCGTTGAGGAGGGAGGTTCCACCTACGCCCCTGCCCCTGGGATAGGGGCAACGCTCCTCTTTCATCCCTAAAAAGTAATAAAAAGTAAACGATACGAAAAAATCTCATACTGAGTTATGTCCAATCTTTTTACCGGATTATCGTGTAATAGTAGGGGAGCCCAAGAGGGGATTTTGGGAGTTACTCAAGCGCAGCAGATTAACATTGGGTTATACTTTGCACCTTGTTGAGTACCTCCACCATATCTAAGTCCTCTATATAAGGCCGAACGTGTAGGGCAGCCAATCAGAATAGTAAAAAAAATCGATAGTTGGAAATACTCGAGCGCGTCAGATTAAGATATGATGGGTTAATTACATGCTGAAAAGTGTGCATTTGAATAATCTGACGATTTGAGCGTGACGTAAGCCAGTCAGAAGGTCACAAAGTTGTAAAAAAAAAACGTCACCACGACATTCTCGAGCGCGGTCGATTTTTTTTTATTTTGAAGGAAATAATTCAAGGATAACGGGAAAAATATAATCTGCCGATTTCCACAAGCCGAAGTAACAAAAATCGTTAATAAAGTTTAGCGCGTGCAGCTGCAGGGAAATACATGTTGTTTTGAAACTCCGNAAAAAATTTTTTTTTTCAAACCGTCAGATTAAGAAAACCCCTCCAAATAATCGTCAGATTATGGATCAGCACGACCAGGGCATCAAGCTGAACCATCTATATGAAAATCTGACGCGCTCGAGTATTTCAAATTGGCGATTTTTTTTTGGATTTTCAAAAAACTGCCACGAGTTTGCGTCACATCCGAATCGTCAGTCTTTTGAATGGGAGCTTTGTTCGGGTTCACTTAACATCCCCTCTGAATATCTGACGCGCTAGAGTAATTTTTTTTTCCCCCATTTTTAACCATTCCGCACGGCCGCCCCCACCATCCAAATCGGCATATTAGCATATCTCCATCATCGGAGACACGTAGAGCATATACACTATCAATATTGACGTGCCCGAGTATTTCCATGTGACTGTTTTTTTTTACATTTTTGAAAGCCTGTAGACGCTTCCCCCACCGGTGACAGGGTATACATCATATAACCTTTTTTTCTTTCTACCATCTAATCTTCAAAATCCAATAGGTCCCCACGACGCTCGAGTAAATCCCTGTTTAGCATCGTGGGCTCCCCTACTATAAATCTTTTCTCATTTCAAAACTATTTAAATGGTAAAAATTAGAAATATACCGGGTGTTTCAGAAAGAATCTTAGTTATAATAAAAAACAATAATAACTTACATTACATACTTTCTTACAGTACAATCAATTACATGAAAAGCTAAATAAATTATGAATATAAGGTTCTTCAAAATAAATTAATAATATCATATTCCAATTTAGCAAAAAATTATTAATAAAATATTAAAAATTGTCATTAAATTTGGGTGCATACATTAAAAAATAAATGCTTTAGCCATCACATTTATATTTGCAAAGTCACACGTAAACAGCATTGCCGAGTTTCTATCCTTAGAAATAAATTCACTTTTTCCAATAGAGCAGGGCAGTCGATTTTATAGTTTATTAAATTATAAAATTATAAACAAAAGAAATTATCAGCAACAATGACTGAAACTGAAAAGCATGAAGTAACACTTTATCGTCTATGATTCTCTCAGGATATACACCATTTTTAAAAAAAAATAAATAAACTATAGGAATTTCCGCTGCACTGACTCTATCTGACAAATAGTATTTTGATACAAAGGGTACCAGAAAATTCATATATAATACCTATATTATTCTAATTACTCCTAATGAGTGACACATTTGACAATTTGTTTAAAACGACATTCGAAAAATCGCTCATATTGAATCATACTGAATATACACGAGCAGTTTTATCGACAGATTTTGCCGATTTATCGTTGAATTGCATTAATTGTAAAGACAAAACTGCTTGGTCATCAAGAAAAATTGTAAAATACCAAAATTTGTCGGATAAATTGCTGCCAAATAATGTGTAGCGATTATTTTGTCACGTACTCTAACGCAGCGATTAAACGGCAGATTTTGTCGTGAATTATCGGTCGATATTTTGTAGAGCATCATCTGCGTGTAAATTATCGGTCGATATGTAAAATCGGTTAATTTCTGTCTTCAGTTCAGAACATACTACAAATTCAAATATGGCATCAAAAGAATTTATTAGTGGACTGATCGATTTATATCGTAATCACCCGTATTTATGGAAAACAACATCACAAGAATATACAAATAAAAATATTAAAAACGGGAGTTATAAGGAATTAGTAGCGTATTGTATTCTTTCCACAATAACCATGTTTGAACCCACTTTGTTCACTTTTTATTTCTTCTGCGTCGTTTTATAATCACATAATCCATCATTCCAAGTAATAAAACGCGTTTAAAATCGTTTTTGTTCATGTTTTCGTAGAACACTCAAGCCAACTACACTTACGACTGACAAATAAATTGCTCTGATTTTTTGGATTTCCGAAAGATCAACGATGACAGAATAATCTTACCTAATTTAGAGATAAATCTTTGTGAATGACACAGACGTAACAAATAAACTGTCAAATAAACTTTGTACAATAATTCGATTCAATAAAACTTCGCATTAGTGTCCTCTATAAGATTTGTCTGAAAGATTTTTCTTAACGATTTATCTGACGATTATGTGGTACAATTTTTTTGCATGTGTATTCAGCTAAAATTTTGGTATATTATACAATTTTTCTTGATGACCCAAACTAGCAGTTTTGTCTTTACAATTTATGCAATTCAGCAATAAATCGGCATTCAGCTTTTTAGAGAGGACACTAATGCGAAGTTTTATTGAATCGAATTATTGTACAAAGTTTATTTGACAGTTTATTCGTTACGTCTGTGTCATTCATAAAGATTTATCTCTAAATTTGGTAAGATTATTCTGTGTTCGTTGATCTTTCGGAAGTCCAAAAAATCAGATCAATTTATTTGTTACTCGTAAGTGTTGTTAGCTTTAGTGTTCTACGAAAACATGAACAAACACGATTAAATTCTATTCGAGGTACTATTTCAAGAGTTGACTGATTTGTGGATATGAATGTGGAATGGACATAGTCACATACTAGGAAGATCGGAAGTTCACTTTTGGTAATCCTAAACAATCGAAAAATATTACAGAAGAATTTAATCTAATTATCCTTTTATTTATTTATTTATTTTTTTAATACCTCAATGATAATAGACTTTACCAACAAAAATAACGCGAACTATACACTACACTATATTACTGAGTTATTAAATATAGATATGTACATATATACAGGGTATTATTATTTTAATTTTTAGTGACCAATCTCTAAATGAAAAATAAACGGTAACAACATATCGCGCAGATATTTCCTCCAACACCTACTAACACGCAGATGACGCTCTACAAAATATCGCCCGATAATTCACGACAGATTTATCTGCCGTTTGATCGCTGTGTTAGTGTACGTAACAAAATAATCGCTCCAAATTATTTGG